CATTGGTGTCAGTGGGGGGAATAGTGCCCCATCATTGGTGTCAGTGGGGGGAATAGTGCCCCATCATTGGTGTCAGTGGGAGGAATAGTGCCCCATCACTGGTGTCAGTGGGAGGAATAGTGCCCCATCACTGGTGTCAGTGGGAGGAATAGTGCCCCATCGTTGGTGTCAGTGGGAGGAATAGTGCCCCATCGTTGGTGTCAGTGGGAGGAATAGTGCCCCATCGTTGGTGTCAGTGGGAGGAATAGTGCCCCATCGTTGGTGTCAGTGGGAGGAATAGTGCCCCATCGTTGGTGTCAGTGGGGGGAGGAATAGTGCCCCATCGTTGGTGTCAGTGGGGGGAGGAATAGTGCCCCCATCGTTGGTGTCAGTGGGGGGAGGAATAGTGCCCCCATCGTTGGTGTCAGTGGGGGAGGAATAGTGCCCCCATCGTTGGCATCAGTGGGAGCAATAGTGCCCCAGGCGTCAGTGGAGCAATAGTGCCCATCGTTGGCGTCAGTGGGAGCAATAGTGCCCCATCGTTGGCGTCAGTGGGAGCAATAGCGCCCCATCGTTGGCGTCAGTGGGAGGAATAGCGCCCCATCGTTGGTGTCAGTGGGGGGAGGAATAGCGCCCCCATCGTTAGTGTCAGTGGGGGGAGGAATAGCGCCCCATCGTTGGTGTCAGTGGGGGGAGGAATAGCGCCCCATCGTTGGTGTCAGTGGGGGGAGGAATAGCGCCCCATCGTTGGTGTCAGTGGGGGGAGGAATAGCGCCCCATCGTTGGTGTCAGTGGGGGAGGAATAGCGCCCATCGTTGGTGTCAGTGGGGGAGGAATAGCGCCCCATCGTTGGTGTCAGTGGGGGGGAGGAATAGCGCCCCATCGTTGGTGTCAGTGGGGGGAGGAATAGCGCCCCATCGTTGGTGTCAGTGGGGGGGGAGGAATAGCGCCCCATCGTTGGTGTCAGTGGGGGGAGGAATAGCGCCCCATCGTTGGTGTCAGTGGGGGGAGGAATAGCGCCCCATCGTTGGTGTCAGTGGGGGGGAGGAATAGCGCCCCATCGTTGGTGTCAGTGGGGGGAGGAATAGCGCCCCATCGTTGGTGTCAGTGGGGGAGGAATAGCGCCCCATCGTTGGTGTCAGTGGGGGGAGGAATAGCGCCCCATCGTTGGTGTCAGTGGGGGAGGAATAGCGCCCCATCGTTGGTGTCAGTGGGGGGAGGAATAGCGCCCCATCGTTGGCGTCAGTAGGGGGAGGAATAGCGCCCCATCGTTGGCGTCAGTGGGGGGAGGAATAGCGCCCCATCGTTGGCGTCAGTGGGGGGGAGGAATAGCGCCCCAACGTTGGCGTCAGTGGGGGGAGGAATAGCGCCCCAACGTTGGCGTCAGGGGGAGGAATAGCGCCCCATCGTTGGCGTCAGGGGGGGAATAGCGCCCCATCGTTGGCGTCAGTGGGGGAGGAATAGCGCCCCATCGTTGGCGTCAGTGGGGGGAGGAATAGCGCCCCATCGTTGGCGTCAGTGTGGGGGAGGAATAGCGCCCCATCGTTGGCGTCAGTGGGGGAGGAATAGCGCCCCATCGTTGGCGTCAGTGGGGGGAGGAATAGCGCCCCATCGTTGGCGTCAGTGGGGGGAGGAATAGCGCCCCCATCGTTGGCGTCAGTGGGGGGAGGAATAGCGCCCCATCGTTGGCGTCGTGTGGGGGGAGGAATAGCGCCCCATCGTTGGCGTCGGTGGGGGGAGGAATAGCGCCCCATCGTTGGCGTCGGTGGGGGGAGGAATAGCGCCCCATCGTTGGCGTCGGTGGGGGGAGGAATAGTGCCCCATCGTTGGTGTCAGTAGGGGGAGGAATAGTGCCCCATCGTTGGTAATAGTGACACCAATGATTGGGCACTATTCCTCCCACTGACACCAATGATACTTACCTTGCTGACCCCTGCTCCAGCCTGGGCTCGCTCGCTCCCTCCCTCCTCCCATGGTACAAACACTTACCGGTCAGGATGGCTTCCTTCTCCGGCCACTTTCCTCCTCTTCACTCGCTCGTGCTTCGCGGATGTGGTGCCGCTCGGCTCCTCCTTTCCAAGCTCCACCTCCTCGCCGGTGATTGGCCGCCTGTGTGCCTCTCTTGAGCTACAGTTCCGGCGGCCAATCACCGACGAGGAAGGATTGATCCCGGGGGTGTGTCCAGATGACAGGGACGGCATGTCATCCCGCCCACACCTGCAGACGGATCAAGGAGCGGTGTCTCGGTTCCTAAGGCCATCGGAAATATGTGTTTTCCGATGGTCTTAGGCGACCCCTGGGAAAGTGTGTCGTTCGACCCCCAAAGGGGTCGCGACCCCCAGGTTGAGAACCGCTGCTGTAGACCATTATGAGAGACTCCCACCATGCGTGTGCTTAGTTCCTGGGTCTGCCAACCCACTATACCCATTATGAGAGACTCCCGCCATGCATGCGCTTAGTTCCAGGGTCTGAACACTCACTGTAGACCATTATGAGAGACTCCCACCATACATGTGCTTAGTTCCTGGGTCTGCACACCCACTGTACCCATTATGAGAGACTCCCACCATGCGTGCGCTTAGTTCCTGGGTCTGTACACCTGCTGTGCCCATTATGAGTGGTTCCTACCATCCCTGCCCTGAATTCTTGGATCTGCACAGCTGCCATACCCATTATGATGGGTTCCCACAATCCCTGTAGAGTCCCTGTACCCATTATGGGGAACTCCCACCATCCCTGTGCCGAGTTCCTGTGTCTTCCAAATTTCTTATGACTAAGTCCAATGACGAAACGCGTCAAGGGAAGTGACGTCAAGATGCACAGCTGAATCGGAAGTAACCGAGCGCGGGCCATTTTGGATCCTGGAAAGTCCGAGATTATACACATGAGAGGGTCTCAGAGGATCTCCAGAGGTCTGGCTGCTACTATTCTGATTTGATTGCAATTTGAAAGATGAAGGATAATGTAAGCATGTAATAAAGTATTTACTCATGATTATATGCGGATTTACACTATTATTTACTCCATATGTTTGATGGGCATCGTTGTTGGAGCATGGTGTTCAGGAAAGAGTGAGCTTTTTTCTTTTTTTTCTGAGGTTCTATGGTCCCAAAAATCACTTTGGAGGTTGTTTTGCAACATGAAGGTTTTTTGAATTTATGGATGTTTTTTTTGAATTTTGAGTGACTATATTTATTTTGGAGGACATTTCTAATATTTTGGATTGTGTTAATTTATTTTTATTTTTTTGGATAATTTGGACAGTGTGGGATTGTATTTTATGCATATTTTTGATCAGAGTTCCTGTGTTTGCTTGTCTGCTATACCCATTATGAAGGGCTCCTACCATCTCGGCCTTGAGTTCCCAGGTTTACAAAACTGCACTGACCTTGTTGAGGAACTCTCTTCATCCCTGTGCTTAGTTCCTGGGTCTGCACGCTCATTATGAGGGGTTCCCACCATGCCTGTGCTGAGTTCCTGGGTATGTACACCTGCTGTGCCCATTATGAGGGGTTCCCACCATTGCTGCCCTGAATTCTCAGATTTGCACTCCTACCATACTCATTATGATGGGTTCCCACCATCCCTGAACTGAGTTCCCAGGTCTGCACAACTGCTGTGCCCATTATGAGTGGTTCCCACCATCCCTGCCCTGAGTTCCTTGATCTGCACACCTGCCAGGACCACTAAGAGGGGTTTCTACCTGCTTTTCATTGAGTTCCCAGGTTTACATACCCATTGTGCCCACCAACTCAAGAAAATAATTATTTGCACCACAAGATCAATAAATGAGCCCTTTCATTATAAAAGACTGCTTGGTTACAATCAATGTCTTTTTTATTTTTTTTTTTATGGCAAACAACTGCATATCTCTGTTTGATTGTTTATCTTCAGGGTGGATAAAAATCAATGATTTTTTTTAAAAAAATTCAAAAAAATCAGGTTTTTTTTTTTAATTTAAATCGGATTTTTTTTATTTAAATCGGATTTTTTAAAATAAAATGCTTTTTGAGGAAAATATATTACCATGCAAAGGTTATTCCATCATGAAATAAAGATTAGTTTTTTAATTATGTAGAATAAGGCTGTATATGTTTCATTTTTTTGGTAAATAAATTCCATGAATCCATTCACAATGTCATGCTCTTCCAGAGGTTTCTGTAAAATTATTGGGCAGTTTCTCTGCCTACAAGATATTATCACAGATGTTGGTTTACTTTTGCAGTTCTCAAAACTGAATTTGACTCAGCGGAGATCACATGCCTCTTCTTCACAGCAAAAAATGTTATAACATGAACAGAGTTAAGAAAAAGCCCTTCATCCTAACTTCTACAAACCTATGAATACAGAATCAACCCCTTCACTGCTAAGTTTCAAGAAGTTCAGTGAATAGAATAGAAACAATATTTTTCTGATTGTTTGGAGTGGAATAGATCTGCACAAGAAGAAAGTGAAACTAAGTGTGAGGAGGAAGGGGCTGACAGTCTTAAGTTTCCTAAAAATATATATATTTTGTTTAGCCAAATTAGTTAACAAACATGGATGTTTAAGCAAATCACATATGCTGGAATGTTATTGTTTCAGTTGAATAAATCTATTTATATTGTTATTATTAAGGGAATGATTATTTTTCTCCTTCCTAAGTACAACAGAAAAGTTGTCCAAATATGAATGATTAACCTATTAAACTGGGGATAAAAAAACTAATATGAAAAGTTATTATTCTAAAAATCTTCATCTACTTGTATATTAAAGTTATACCAGCAAGAATTAGTCTTTATGTAGAAAACTAGGATTTAAATCAAGCCTTACTGACTAGTGATTTAAATTGTGATTTAAATCAGTTTGATTTAAATCAAATCCACCCTTTTTATCTTTATGTATATGGCCAGCACTAACCTGTATATGTTCTATTGACTGAAACCCTCCCCGTCTGTCAGCTGATTTACAGCTCAGTTTGGCAGGATTGTTCTGCACATTGACAAGGATGACTTGTGTAATGCAATCTGTCTTCTCTCCAGGCTCCTGTGAAAGTATTAACACTGCGTGCTGGAACTCTTCCAAGACTTGTCCGCCATCTTCTCGAAGCCCGAATTCTGGGGGACACCTCCTACATCCCGGTTTTCCTGGCCACTTATCGCACTTTCAGTAGCACCAGTGAGGTGTTGACGTTACTGCTGGACAGGTTGTGTAATTTTGCTATGTGTGGGGGTCAGTGTGGTGAAGGGGGGGGGGGGGGGGTGCTATAGAATGGCAATGTAGATTTTCCCCCACATATTTGTCCATTATGTGGCTTTTGGTGATCCCCCTCCTTTGATTCCTCTGAAATGAAGTCTAGCAGAACCAGTTTCTAAAATGTACCTAGAAATGGATAGGTTTAGAACCTTGGTCAAGTTTTTTTTGCTGATATCGTCCCCACTAGGGAGATTCAGCCTCTAAAATTGTCCTGTTGATCATTTTAGAAGAAGAGAAATCCAACATTTTTATACTCACCGGCCACTTTATTAGGTCCACCTTCCTAGTGCCAAGAAAATCTCCTCCACACCATCACACACCACCACCACCAGCCTGAACAGTTGATACAAGGCAGGATGGATCCATGCTTTCATGTTGTTTACGCCAAATTCTGACCCTACCATCTGAATGTCACAGCAACCAGTCTGCCCATTCACCTCTGACCTCTGACATCAACAACACATTTTCCGCCACACAACTGACACTTACTGGATATTTTCTCTTTTCCGGACCATTCTCTGTAAACCCTAGAGATGGTTGTTCGTGACAATCCCAGTAGATCAGCAGTTTTTGAAATACTCAGACTAGCCCTTCTGGCACCAACAACCATGTCACGTTCAAAGTCACTTAAATCCCCTTTCCTCCCCATTCTGATGCTCGGTTTGAACTTCAGCAAGTTGTCTTCACCACGTCTACGTGCCGAAATGTATTGAGTTGCCACCATGTAATTGGCTGATTAGCAATTTGTGTTACCAAGCAATTGAACAAGTATGTGAGTATAACCTGTGCAGAGGACTGATCAATTAGAGGCTGCTGCTAGCAAAATCACAAATGTGTACCGGTGAACAAATGTGTGAGTGCAAGGGGGGGAGTCATCTTTTTTGGTGGGACTTTAACAGCACAATTTATTTGTATGATAAATTTCAACAAAAGAGATATTTTTATAAAAACAGTATGAAATTAAATTTTTACAATCTTCAAAAATAAACATAAAGCTATAAAACATATTGCGGCGTTGTCATCAGAGATGGTATTGCAAATCTAATCATGGATCATGCATGGTTCACGCTTGACGCATTTCGAGATCAACAAAAATCTCTTCTTCAGAAGTGCTCAAGAAGGCATGACGTCTATCACAAACATATATCAATATACATGACGCAATCTAATTATTGTAAACGATTTGATACTTTACAATATGGTTGTACACTTACATGATTCCATGTGAGGTAAAAACCGCCAGGAAATATTAAAAACAAATTGTTATGTGAACACAGCCACGGATTTCTGCCTGAGATATATAAGAAATCCGTGGCTGTGTTCACATAACAATTTGTTTTTAATATTTCCTGGCGGTTTTTACCTCACATGGAATCATGTAAGTGTACAACCATATTGTAAAGTATCAAATTGTTTACAATAATTAGATTGCGTCATGTATATTGATATATGTTTGTTATAGACGTCATGCCTTCTTGAGCACTTCTGAAGAAGAGATTTTTGTTAATCTCGAAACGCCTCAAGCGTGAACCATGCATGATCCATGATTAGATTTGCAATACCATCTCTGACGACAACGCCGCAATATGTATTGTAGCTTTATATTTATTTTTGAAGATTGTAAAAAAATTACATTTCATACTGTTTTTTTTTAAAAAAAATCTCTTCTGAATTGTTGAAATTTATCATACAAAAATTGTGCCGTTAAAGTCCCACCAAAAAAAGAGGACTTTCCCCCCCCTTGTATTTGTTAGGGATGTTGGCACTTTGTGTATTATATCCCTTCCTCTCTCTAAATGTGTAAGTGCAAACATAAAAATTGCTGCGCTGCCTCTCCCAAACACTACTTTCAATAATTAAATAAATGAATGAACTCCCTACTATACAAAGGGTCCCCACAAATGTGCATGTGTTATAATGCCCCGTGGGCTGACAATTATATCCCTCCTCCCCAGTGACTAAATCCCAAATAAACCAATAAGTACATACAAAGTGCTTAAAAGACAATAGTGCTAAAAATAGCACATATACAATGCCATGAAACTGTGTATACATTGAAATTATATAAAAATATATATATATTAAAGTCCCAATAATTGTGCAAACATATAAAAGTTCCAAAAAAACCCCCAAAGAAACCTTCATCCGCATCCGTTGTGAATATTAAGTGATACAGTAGTAAATCTTCTTATCCATAGCAATTCTCTATGCGAAGTGCTCCAATTAGTGCTCCCCCTCCAGAGCCCCACTCAGCACAGATAATTGACCACCTGGAATGGTAGGTCAAATATTATTATTATTATACAGGATTTATATAGCGCCAACAATTTGCGCAGCGCTTTACAATATAAGGGAGGCAGTACAATTACAATACATTTCAGTACAGAAGGAGTGTGAAGGCCCGGCTCGTGGAGCTTACAATCTAAAGGAAGGGGGAGGTGATACAGAAGGTGATAGCTGCGGGGGATGATCTGGTGGAGGTGATTCAAGTACAGTTCTTAGGTGGAGGTGGGGTAGGCTTCCCTGAATAAGTGAGTTTTCAAAGATCGCCTAAAGGCAGACAGGGTGGGGGCTGACTGGACATACTATGGTAGGGAGTTCCAGAGGATGGGAGAGGCTCTGGAGAAGTCCTGGAGGCGAGCATGGGAGGAGGTGATGAGGGAGCTGGAGGGGAAGAGATCTTGGGTGGAGCGGAGTGGGCGATTTGGGCGATATCTGTGGATAAGGTTGGCAATGTAGCTAGGGGCAGTGTTGTGGATGGCTTTGTAAGCTGTGGTTCGTATTTTGAATTTTATACTTTGGGTTAGTTAGTGGAAAGCCAGTGAAGGGATTGGCAGAGAGGGGCAGCAGTCACTGATCGGTTGGTAAGGTGTATGAGTCTAGCAGCAGCATTCATAATAGACTGAAGGGGGGATAGCTTGTGTAACGGTAGACCAGTGAGGAGGGAGTTGCAGTAGTCAAAGCGGGATAAAACCAAGGTGTGGATAAGTTGTTTTTTGCTGTCATTGGTCAGAAAGGGGCGGATTTTGGAAATGTTCCGGAGGTTGAGGCGGCAGGATTTAGCCAGTGATTGGATGTAGGGCCCAAAGGAGAGGTCAGAGTCTAGGATTACGCCTAGCATGAGATGTTGCAGTGCTCTCCTGCAGGAGAGGTGGCCGTCTGTGTGGTCTTGACACCTCTATACGCTGATGACAGACTCCATAGTGGAAACACCTCTAGGTCAATTGTTTGTGCCAAAACTCCTCCAGAACCTCCACAGTACTCCACCACCTTAAAAACTTCAAAGGGAAACTTCCATAGCGTAACCGTATTTATTAGGTAAAAAAAACATTTAAAATTGGACTTACATAAAAGCCATGTGTATGGCACTTTAAATCCCAGCAAAACGCAATTCCTTCTCAGAGGACAAGTGTAGCGCTATCAAGCCGCGCCCTACATGTTTCGTTGTATGATGTCATCAGGAGCAAGGTGAACAGGTGTACCTAATAAAGTGGCCAGTGAGTGTATATTTGCCATCAGAACAGGAATAGGGAAAAAAATCTTGCCCCCCTTTGTGTCTATAACAGCCCCCAGCCTTCTAGGAAGGCTTTCCACCATATTTTGGAGGGTATCTGTGGGAATTTGTGTTCATTAGGCCAAAAGAACCATTTGTGAGTCAAGTTACTGATGTTGGAAGACTTGATTCCTAATGAGCTTTGCCGTTCTTCCCAAAGATGTTCAGTAGGGTTGAGGTCCGAGCTCTATAGTGGCACTCTAGTTCAGAGGGTCTCCAAACTTTCTAAACAATTGGGTGGAATTGTGCCCCATCGTTGGTGTCATTGGGAGAAATTGTGCCCCTTCATTGGTGTCAATGGGGAGGAATTATGCCCTCTTGTTGGTATCAATAGATGTAATAGTGCGTCAAGGACCACATAAAAGCAAACAGTTTGGAGACCACTCATGCTCCTCCACACCAAACTCAGCTTTTTCCCATGTGGTGTATCACCAATATTCTGAATTTCTGAATTAAAATTGCCTAAAAATGTCCATGTGTGGCCAACATAAGGGGACTTTTGACAGGAAATGAGTCCCAATTGTATTTATATTTACCCACTCAGCAGTAATACAATTTTAATGAAAGTATTCAGTGTCTTCTGTAATAAGGGAAATTCCTTCTTCCTTCAACAACCTTTTGATGAGGAGGGCCACTGTTTGGGTAGAGCTTTTGATTGGCTGGCTTAACATCAAGCAACCGATCTAGATCTACAAATAGACACCTTGAAAACAATTGCCAGGAATTTCCCACTTCACAGATAAAACTTTTTGGGGACTTTCATTGGCATTTCTTTAACTCTAGCTGTATAGGTGGGATGACCTTCTTGGCTTTAGGTCTTCTTTATGGTATGAATCTACCTCTGCGAAAAACATGTTCCTGTAAACTAGCGCAATCAAAATCAAATACAATTTAATGGTTGCAAGGAAGCACCAATTTATAGGGGCAGATTCAAATAATTATTTTAATACTTTAAATAATAATATCCAGAAAAGTGCAGTGGAGTCCCTAATTGCCAAGAAATAGTTGGTGCTTGAAACCTGTAGGCTCACAGCAAGGGCTATATATTCTATTCAGCCAACATAGGAACCAGAGAAGTGCATTGTCTGCTGTCTCTGTAAACTGTTGGATGGCGAAAAAAGGACGTTAGTTGGTGGGCTCCCAGAAGGGAGGGATTTCAGTGCAGTAACAGTCATGATTGGTCCAAGGCATACAGGTTCAGAAACTGCAGAACGGGTGGGTTGGAAAAGTGGTAACATCACATTTGATGGGCAGCCACAGACAGGACAAGGTCATCTAGAGCCTAGGGTGGACATGCCAAACTGTGAGCGCCGCCCCCCCCCCCACAAGAAGTATGAGCATTATGTCAGCAAAAATCCCCTCCCCCCCCCCAAAAAAAAATGAGCACCAACTTGCAAGCTTGTCCCCTAAGCATACATTTCCGAGACTAAATCCCCCTCCCAGCACAAATCCTTAAATCTTTGCCCCCGATTCCGCATCCTATCATGTCACCTCTTCTACCACAAACCCCCCAAATCTCCCCTCCTAGCATAAATCTCTCTCCCCCCCCCCCCCCCCCATTCCTCCTCCCAACACAAATCCCCCTAAATCACCACTCCTAGCACCCCCCTCCCCCAGTTATCCCTCCTAGAACATTTCTTACCCCCTGCCGCCCCCACAATTCCCCCTCCCAACACAAATCTCCCTAAATCACCACTCCTAGTACCCCCCCCCCATTATCCCTCATAGAACACTTCTTACCCCCTGCCGCCCCCACAATTCTCCCTCCAACATAAATCTCAATAAATCACCACTCCTAGTACCCCCTCCCCCACAATTATCCCTCATAGAACACTTCTTACCCCCCCCTGCCGCCCCCACAATTCCCCCTCCCAACACAAATCTCCCTAAATCACCACTCCTAGCACCCCCCTACAATTATCCCTCCTAGGACACTGCTTACCCCCTGCCACCCCCACAATTCCCCCTCCCGACACAAATCTCCCTATATCACCACTCCCAGCGCCCCCCTCCCCCCCCAATTATCCCTTCTAGAACACTGCTTACCCCCTGCCAACCCCACAATTCCCCTTCCCAACACAAATCTCCCTAAATCACCACACCTAGCACCCCCTCCCCCCAGTTATCCCTCCTAAAACACTTCTTACCCCTTGCCGCCCCCACAATTACCCCCCCCCAAAACAAATCTCCTCCCCTATCTCCTCGCAGCTCTTTCCTCCACCAACCTCACATGATACCACAGTGCCCAAGGCAGCCTCCCCTCCTGCTCACCCCTTGTCCTTGTCCTTGCCCTGGCCACAGAGCTCAGCAGGGATGGCTGGATCACAAGAATAAATCAGCACTTCCCCAAATTTCCAGCAACTACAGCGATTCCTATATACAAATATTCAATGTGTGTTCAGCAGTAGTTGTGGCATTCCTAAATGGAGAACTGTGGGGGGGGGGCAGGGTAAGAAAGTAGGAGCTCTACATCGCCATCTAAAGGAGATAATTGTAGTTACACACTGACACTTCTGTCTTTTGTTGCAGATTACAGAACAATAATCACTTACAGAGCAACGACCAATCACATAAAGGGAAAGATGATGAGTGAGTATGAAACCTTTTGCACCCGCGCTGTTCATTTTTTTTACACCTAAAATAAAATATATATGAAAAATTAATACAGTGTGAGTGCGTGTACAGTATATGTGTGTGTATGTGTGTGTGTGTGTATGCAGGTTTAAGAAACAGAAATAAAATGAACAAGTAAAAAATTTTTATATTTTGTATGTGTGTGTGTGTGTATGTGTATGTATATGTGTATATGTATATGTATATGTGTATATGTATATGTATATGTATATGTGTATATATATATATATATATATATATATACACACACTAGATTGACAAAAGTATTGGACCGGCCCTCCAAATCATGTGATTCAGGTGTTCCAATCACCTCCATGGCCACAGGTGTATACAATCAAGCCCCTTAGGCATGCAGATGCTTCTACAAACATTTGTGAAAGAATGGGTCACTCTCAGGAGCTCAGTGACTCCAAGCATGGTCCCGTGATAGGTAGCCACCTGTGCAATAAGTCCATCCGTGACATTTCCTGGCTACTAAATATTCCACGCTCAACTGTTAGTGGGATTATAACAAAGTGGAAGCAACTGGGAACAAACGTAACTCAGCCACCAAGTGGTAGGCCACATAACATGACAGAGCGGGGTCAGCGCATGCTGAAGCACACAGTGCGCAGAAGTCACCAACTGTCTGCAGAGTCAATAGCTAAAGACCTCCAAACTTGGTGTGGCCTTCAGATGAGCCCAACAACAGTGCCGAGCAGCTGCATCCAAGCCTTACATCACCAAATGCAATGCCAAGCGTTGGATGCCGTGGTGTAAAGCACGCCGCCACTGGACTCTAGAGCAATGGAGATGTGTTCTCTGGAGTGACCAATCACATTTTTCTGTCTGGCAATCTGATGGACATGTCTGGGTTTGGCAGTTGCCAGGAGAACAATACTTGCCTGACTGTATTGTGCCAAGTGTAAAGTTTGGTAGAGGGGGGATTATGGTGTGGGGTAGTTTTTCAGGGGTTGGGCTTGGCCCCCTAGTTCCAGTGAAGGGAACTCTTAGGGTGTCAGCATACCAAGACATATTGGACAATTTCATGCTCCCAACTTTGTGGGAAGAGTTTGGGGATGGCCCCTTCCTGTTCCAACATGACTGCACACCAGTGCACAAAGCAAGGTCCATAAAGACATGGAGGAGCCAGTTTGGGGTGGAGGAACTTGACTGTCCTGCACAGAGTCCTGACCTCAACCCCATAGAACACTTTTGGGATGAATTAGAGCGGAGACTGCAAGCCAGGCCTCCTCCCCCGACATCAGTGCCTGACCTGACAAATGTGCTTCTGGAAGAATGGTCCAACCTTCCCATAGACACCTCCTAAACCTTGTGGACGGCCTTCCCAGAAGAGTTGAAGCTGTTATAGCTGCAAAGGGCGGGGCCAACTCAGTATTGAACCCCACGGACTAAGACTGGGATGCCATTAAAGTTCCTGTGCGTGGAAAGGCAGGAGACCAATACTTTTGGCAACATAGTGTATGTATGTATTTGTATACACAAAACTATTCCACTTGTTACATGTTCATCGTATTTCTATTTCTTAAACTAGCAATGCATGACGTATATTTATAGCAAAAATTGTGGCGCTAGTTATATTGTGAAATTGCATTTGTTCTGTGCAGATGCGAGCAGAATTTTATCTTACTAACTCTAGTCGAATGTTATTCATACATACAGAAAAGAGTGAATTAGGAAATTACTGCATTATGGCCTCTAGCTGGTGATGAGGATCATAGTAAACAAGTAGATTGGCTCCATCTAGTGGCCATAATGTGGTATTTTCCTGGTTTACTCTTCCATATTAATGAATAAAATTGGAGAGAAAATAGCTTCACAACATTTGATTTTGTCCCCGTCGGCACAGACCTGATGTATATGCAGTCACGCAGGACAAATAGCTCTGCAATTTTTTTTAATAAATGCGCCCTCTAGAATCTCTAGTGTTGTAATACAGCACCATTCAAGTGTATGGGGAATTGTTGGTTTTTATCCCATATGGAAGAAAAGTATATTTGAAATACTACAGTTTTGGCCATATTCAATATATTTAAAAAAAAAAAAAAAAAAAAAAAAATATATATATATATATATATATATATATATATATATATATATATATATATATACACACATACATACTGCATGTTGTGTTGAAATGCATTTTTTACATATTGCAAAATATATGAAGAATATTTTTAAAAAATATATGTTTTTTAAATATATTCTTCAGATTTTTTTAAAATATAAAAGTCATTTTAAAATAAATTTTTACAAAGCATTCCAAAAATATAGATTTGTATATTTGAAAATGGAATTTTAAAAAAAAATTTTCTTATATTTTGTAATATAAAACACATTTCAACATACAGTCTGTGTTTATTTATATATATATATATATATATATATATATATATATATATACAGACACTGTATGTTGAAATGCATTTTTATTACAAAATATATGAAAAATATTTTTACAAACATTTTTTAAAAATATATTCTTCAGATCTTTTTAACATATAAAAAAAGTCATTTTAACATATATTTTTACAATGCACTCCAAAAATGTAGATTTTTATTTTTAAAGACATACAGTATGTATGTATGTATGTGTATATATATATATATATATATATATATACTGTATACATTTTTATATATAATTTTTTTTTTTTTTTTTTTTTTTTTTTTTTTTAAATATACTGAATACGGCCAAAATTGTAGCATTTCAAATATACGTCAATATATTTGGGAAGAATATTTTTAAAATATATTTCAAAAATATTTTTCTTCCATGTGGGATTTCCCATGATCATCAGTTACATGTAGTGGCCTTTATGTGATATTTATTTATTCACTCTATCCTGTATAAAGGAATTACACTTGACCTGGAGAGAAAATAGCCTAGTAACATTCGATTTTGCCCTTTTTCACACAATAAATGTACATGAAGTTTTGCAGGATGAAGAGCTCTATGAATTGTTTTCCTATTCTCCTGTCCTTTTAGTAGTGATATTTGGAGTCATGACCATGGTAGGTTAGCTTGGTAAAGATCTGGTCCCGTTTCTAGCGTGGATTTTGCCGCTATTGCGCCATATAGTGTGTAGTCCTTCATCCTCACAGTTCTGTCTTTTCTATACTCTCTCCAGCCTCAGCAGTCTCTTCTGTGCCTGGATGTCTCAGCACCCCGAAGACTTTCTGTCTCTTCAGCCGGAGAAGAGGGATCAGCTGGCTGTGTGCCTTTGCAGACTACGGAAGGCGAATTTGGTAGCAAAACTACAGGAGCTCAGAGCCGCTGACAGGGACGGTGCAGATCAGTCCCCAACGGCAGGGGACGGGACAGAAAACTCAGACCCTCTGGATGTCCTGACATTTCAAGCTGGATATGTGGCCGAGCAACTCACCTGCCTAGAAGCTGTGAGTAAAATCAATGCTTCTATGTCTCTAATGGTGGCCATCTACGATTCAATTTCATTGTCCAATTGATGTGTGACTCAATCACCACGATCGAATCAGGAATTGATCAAATAGCCATAACCACCTGTAGCACCCCTCTAGTTAGCTAGGGGAACTAGATAGGTTTTCTAGAGAGAGAGACTGAGCAGCAGCCTGGGCATGAGTCAGCCAGGTCATCTTTAGGTCAGGCTGAGGGCTCTGCAGATCAGTTCCCTGAAACCTCTCCCTGCTCTAGAGACTTGAGAAGTTTCTAGAAGGCAGTGGGTGGGGGTGAGGAGGGTCTGATCTGCACACTTAAAGTGTTACTAAACCCACAACAGTAAAATCAGTCTCTATATGCAGTAACCCACGTGGAAGGAAAATATATTTAAAAAATATTTCTTCCCAAATTTGAAATACTACAACTTTGGCCGTATTCATTATATTTAAAAAAAAAAGTATTCTATCTATCTATCTATCTATATATATATGTATATATATATATGTATATATATATATATCTATGTATATATATCTATATATATAATGCATTTTTTATATATATAAAAAACATTTTAAAAATACATTTTCAAATATATGTCTTTGATAATACATTTAATCTACATTTTTGGAATGCATTTACAAATATATTAAAAAACATATTTAAAAAATACTTTTTTATATGTCTTTTTGATAGGTTCAAAAAAATCTGAAGAATAAGAAATAATATATATTTTTAAATGTTTGCCTTTAGAAAATATATTTGAATTAAAATTTTTTAGAATACATGTTAAAATATATGAACATAGGACAATATATTATAAAAAGATGTCACATATATAATTTTTTTTCTAAATATATTGGAAATATATTTCTCTTCCATGTGGGAAAGCATGTTTGTTATACTCACTGTGGAACCTAAGGGGTTAATCCCCCGCATTTTGTAGAAACACTGTTTGATCCTGACTTCTCTGATCCTCCCCTTCTTCCAGTGCTCCCCTCTTTTCTCCTGATAAGACATATCGTGTGGAGTCACTCTGCTCATGCTCAGTTTGGTGTGTTTTTTTCTTGGGAGAGTGCATGTGATCAGCACAGGGCCAATCAGCACTGTCCAGACAGAGGTTAGGGGTCCTGCATCCTCCTAGAGCAAAATGAGCCGCCATAAACCCAACTCCAGCCATTATTTATTTTTGGTGTGGAAGGGATAAAACCCTCAACCTTTTATTGTATTTGGTCCAGTCCGATCCACCTGTCAGTTTTTCCAATGGCTTTTAAATGGGCCCTCAGCCTTGAATTGAAAGGTACTAGCACCAAGTTCCCACCCCGGAACTTAGTTTATATATTAATCAATACATAGAAATTGTAAAAATAAACATGACTAGTGCACCCGAGATAGGTTCATCCAGACCCCACTACACCACCGTTACCCTTTACCCTTCCATACCAATCCCCTTTACTTACTATACTTACAGAAAACACAACACCAATTTTGGAGTAAAATGGCCAGCACGGCCTTTTATTAACAAATCAATTTTAAACACATCAACCATTCCTTATAACAGAAAACATAAAGAGTTGTCGTTGGTCTTTGAAGGCACCCCCAAAACGATCCGAAATGCACCTGCGGACAACCATATTCCACTAGGCCTCCAGCCGCAACCAACCAGCTCGGAGACAACCATACCGTCCGCAGTGCAGCACCACCACCTTCCAGTTAAACCTCGGTTAACTGGGAATGGTCCCGGGCACACCATACCAACGATGGGTCCCACACCATTTTGTACCTCCAAGATAAGCACCGCCTCCAAAGACCAACCACCGCCCAGGAACCAAATTAACCCCCCCCCCCCCCCCCCAGGAGGAACACAACATTCACCAAACAGGGCGGGAGGGAAGCTCTCTCTCCCACGTCCAGCTCCCAACTGATGCCCCTCCCCAGAACACCCCACCCTAAAGTGCAGGAGACCCCACCTACACTCTCCTCTACCAACCAGATCCCCCAGCTATCCTTTACCAACTCTAAACAATCATTAACCCTCACACGTCTTCCTTCCCACTCTGGGCCTAGTCATGCCTGCCCTTCGCTAATTCTTTTCTTCTTTATATCGCTGCGGGCATTTCTTTTCAAGTGATTGTAAACCCTCACCTTGTAACAACCCATTCAGAAATGAAAAGCAAAACATTTTGTGTATAGATATAACAAAAAAAAAATACACTTTTTTTCCCACTTTGTTTATATAAGTGAACACATTCTCTCTGTTCTCAGCTGCAGAAGAGCTGGAGGAGGAGAAACAGAAGCTCACTAATCTTCCCAGTGAATGGCTGTGCAGGGAGGGGAAGGGGGTGTCAGGACAAGTCTGATTGTTGGAGGAGAGCAGGCTGAGTCCCCAGCATGGCTAGAGAACTGACCACACTGTAGCCTCATGCCTAGTGTGGTCAGTTTTTAATAGGAGATCAGAGGGACTGGCAGGATCACTGGGGATTTCACACGAAGGAAGCAATACAAAGAGAACAGGATACTGTTTCATACAAGTACAGGGTACAGGAGGCACATATCAGGAATATAAAATGTTAGGTTGGTATATCCTTTAACCTCTTGGCGCCGGCGCCTCCCGTCCCTTTAAGGGTTTTAGGGTCATGTGACCGCCGTGATTAGCTGTCACGGCGGTCACATGATCGGGAAAGGTCCCGATCGAAAGAGGAGATCGGGACCTTTCCGTACCGGACATGTGTGCTGGGAGCGTGCAGAGCGCGCGCTCTCCGCACGTATGTTTTTCTTAATTGCATGCAAATGCATCGGCATCAAGGCTCAGACGCCGGGGGGCCGGTGCGAAAAGGTTAACATATAATGGGTCTCTAGGGGCCCCTGTACTTTCCTGTTGATTCCCCTGTAATCTCCCTTGTGAACGCTCACTTTTTGTCATGTTCATATCTTTCCTTCAGGCTCTGTTCTTAAGAGTGGTCCCATACGAGTGCCTGGGGTCAGTTTGGTCCCGAAGAGACAAGGGAGGGGACCATTTCGATCGATGCCATTCTGTCCGAGAGACCGTCCGTCACTTTAATCGACTCTCGGGCACTGTGACCGCCTCTTGTGTCCAGGACCCCTATCTGAAGCCCCAGCAAAGGGCGCGGATCATCGAGAAGTGGGTGAAAGTGGCCGAGGTAAGTGGACAGGACCAACTGCAGAACCGTCTCGCTGGTGTGACTCTGTTAAAGGGTTATGATGCCAATCGTCTGTCATTAATTTTTTATAGAAGCGGCCATTTTTGGACCCATGTACTGCATGGTAGTTTCCTTGATGGTGACTGGGTTAGATATCCTATGGGCGCCTGGGGCCGTATGATGTAAAATTTGGCCAATTTTCCCTGCTTTGGAGTCATGGGTACTGCACACATATATGTGATTTTGCGGTTCCAGGTGGGGGGGGGGGGGTGTGCGCCCTACCCGTGCCGCCATTCGTGGCCTCGGCTGTCCGTCACCAGGTCCCGGCTGGTGATCCTTCACCGGTACCCAGCGAGTATCTCTGACGGGGGAGAGACCTGTGTATGAACAACACAGATCTCTCCCATCAGCTCCTGCACACTGCTTTGTATGGCTATGCATAGCAGAGCCATACAAAGCAGTGTGCTTACAGAGAAACACACACACAGCCCCTATAGTGAAACAGCACACAGTTAACCCTTTGATTGCCCATGTTAACCCATTCCTGCCCAGTGCCATTAGTACAGTGTCAATGCTTTTTATTAGCACTGATCACTGTATTAGTGTCACTGGGGATGTCGGTGACAGTTTCAGTTCCCCCCAGTTTCAGAATGCCTGCCACAGTCCCTCTGAAGTCCCTGATCTCCGCCATTCCCAGTGACACCAAATCAGTTCCCCCCCCCCCCCCCAATGTCAGAATGCCCACCGCAGTCACTATACAATCAGAATACTATATAGTTAGAATCAGGGGCGGACTGACAACTCATGGGGCCCCCGGGCAATAGGGGATCATGGGGCCCCTGTGTCCTTCCCAAACGTAAAAAAGCCTATGAAAAAGGTACCAGGGGCATCTCATGGGGCCCCCTTCTGACCCTGGGCCCTCGGGCAGTGCCCGAGTTTCCAAATGGTCAGTCCAGCCCTGGTTAGAATACATTTTGGCCTAAATTTATGACGAAATTAGATTTTTAAAATTTTTTTTTACTGGACATGTTTAATAGCACAAAGTAAAAAATACTGTTTTTTTTCTCAAAACTGTCGGGTTTTTTTTTTTGTTTACAGTGCAAAAATTAAAAAAGGTGATCAAATACCACCGAAAAAAGCTCTAAAAAAAGAATGTAAATTTAATTTGGGTGCAGCGTTGCATGACCGCGCAATTGTCAGTTACAATAACGCAGCGCCGTATCGCAAAAAATGGCCTGGTCAGGAAGGGGGGTAAATCCTCCGGAGGGCAAGGGGTTCAAAAATCGAATTGTTAATATTTTAGCAAACACAGAAATATATTAATTTCATTAAAAAAGTGGAATAAATGGTGCACTGTATTATCTAATGTGGAATCAAACCAATCTTGTGCAAAAGAAAAAATGAAAAAAAAAAAAAGAGTCCAAAGTATCCAAAGCTCTGTGTAATAGCCACTCCCGGGGGAATGACTGCCATGTCTCTTCATTGGTAACCCTCACCTTAATGTTTGACCATCGTTAGGTCACATGGCACATCTTTATGATACCAGCATCCAGCAAGGGGCATAGTGGTGAACGCAGAAATAGTAACCCTCCAGTCTGCCTCCGCCAACATGCGCTAACAACATGACTCCATTAACCGCTTGTCCGCCGTCCTATAGTAGAAATACTGCTACAGGGCAGCAGGGCTGCGCAAAATCACTAAACAGCTCATCCACTCCCTCATCATATCACGACTCGACTACTGCAACTCCCTCCTCACTGGCCTGTCTCGCCGCTGGCTATCCCGCTTCAGTCGATCCTGAATACGGCTGCCAGACTCATTCACCTTACCAACCGCTCCATCTCCGCCACCCCCCTCTGCCAATCCCTCCACTGGCTTCCGATTGCGCAACGGATCAAATTCAAAATCCTAACACTGACGTACAAAGCCATTCACCATACTGCTCCGAACTACATCACTGACCTAATATCCAAGTACCGCCCAACACGCACACTCCGCTCCTCACAAGACCTCCTTCTCTCTAGTTCCCTGGTCTCCTCCTCCCATGCCCGCCTCCAGGACTTCTCCAGGGTGTCACCCATCCTCTGGAACTCCCTGCCCCAACCCATCAGATTATCACCTACTCTCCTCTCCTTTAGGCGCACCCTGAAAACCCACCTCTTCAGGGAAGCCTACCCCACCCCCTGCTAACCTGCCGACCTCATCCACTCTTCCTACCACTCCATCCCCCACAGCTATCTCCTCCTGTACCACCATCACCTCCCTCATAGATTGTAAGCTCCAAGGAGCAGGGCCCTCAATCCCCTCATGTTTTGCATTGTATTGGTATTGTTCTGTCACATGTTCTGTCCCCCTTTGTAATGTACAGCGCTGAGCAAACTATTGGCGCTTTATAAATACTGTATAATAATAATAATAATAATAATAAAGAAATGCCCGTAGCGAAAGAAAGAAGAAATAGCGCAGGGCATACATGACTAGGCCCAGAGTGGGGGAAGGAAGAGCAGAAAGGGTTAAGGTAGCTCCAGGGGGATTTGTTATTGTTAGTGGGGGGTAGCTGATTGGTAGAGGTTGGTGTAGGTGGGGTTTTGCTGCACCTTAGGGTGGGAGGTTCTGTGAGGGGGCGTCAGTTAGCTGGGCGGCAAGAGTGTGAGCTTCCCTCCCGCCCTCCCTGTTTGGGTGAGTTTTGGGTCCCTCCAGGTAGAGGGGGGGATTATGTTGGTTCATGGACAGTTGTTGGTCTTTGGAGGCGGTTCTTATTTGGACGGTAAACAACAATGGTGTGGGACCCATCCGTGGTATGGGATGCCCGGGGACATTCCCAGTTAACCAAGGTTTAACTGGAAGGTGGTGGTGCTGCACTGCGGACGGTATGGTTGTCTCCGAGCTGGTTGGTTGCGGCTGGAGGCCTAGTGTATATGGTTGTCCGCAGGTGCATTTCAGATCATTTTGGGGTGCCTTCGAAGACCAACAACAATTCTGTGGGTTTCTGTTATAAGGAATGGTTGGTGTATTGTAACTTGAGTTGTTAATAAAAGGCCATGTTGGCCATTTACTCCAAAATTGGTGTTATGTCTTTTGTTAGTATAATTGGTTAAGGGGAAGGGGGTTGGTGCGGAACGGTAATGGTGGTAATGGGGAAGTGGACGAGCCTATCTCTGGTGCAATAGTCATGTATACGTGATTCGCATTTCCAGGTAGGGGGCGCACGCGCGCCACCCTACCCACGCTGCCATTGGCGGCTAGGGATGTCAATCACCGGGTTGCGGTTGGGGATTCCCCATCGGCACCCAGTGATCGCCGTGTAAAGCTGACAGGGGAAAGACCTGTGTGTATACAACACAGGTCTCTCTCCTGCCAACAAGGACATGCTGCCTTGTATTTCTCTGCACAGCGGAGAAATACAAAGCAGCATGTCTCCGTAGTAAAAGAGCACACATTTATTATTATTTATTTCAGGTACTTATATAGCGCCGTCAATTTGCTCAGCGATTTACATATATATATTGTACATTCACATCAGTCCCTAACCCTCAAGGGGTGTACAATCTAAGGTCCCTAACTCACATTCATACATACACATACTAGGGCCAATTTGGACAGGAGCCAATTCACCTACCAGCATGTCTTTGGAGCATGGGAGGAAACCAGAGTACCCTGAGGAAACCCATGCAGGCACAGGGAGAACATGCAAACTCCAGGCAGGTGGTGTTGTGGCTGGGATTCAAACCAACAATCCTAGTACTGCCAGGTGAAATGCTAACCATTTAGCCACTGTGCTGCCCAATAAAACACAAGCAGCATACAGTTAACCCTTTGATCACCCAAAAGTTAACCCCTTCCTGCCCAGTGCCATTAGTACAGTGTCAGTGCTTTTTATTAGCGCTGATCACTGTATTGGTGTCACTGGGGATGTCAGTGACAGTCAGTGTCCCCCAGAGTCAGAATGCCCGCCGCAGTCCCTCTGTAAGTCACTGATCGCCGCCATTACTAGTATAAAAAAAACAAATTACAGCATATAGACCGTCATTTGTAGACGCTCTAACTTTCATGTAAACCAGTTAATTTACACGTATTAGGATTTTTGGGATTGGGAAATTTTATTTTTAACATTTTTTTTATTGGATATGTTTTATAGCAAAAAGTCAAAAATATTGTTTTTTTTTTTTCAATTTTGTTTATAGCGCAAAAAAATAAAAAAAACACAGTGGTGATCAGATACCACCAAAAGAAAGCTCTATTTGTGGGGAAAAAAAGGACATAAATTTCATTTATGTACAGTGTTGCATGACTGTGCAATTGTCAAAGTAACGCAGCACCGTATCGCAAAAAATGGCCTGGTCAGGAAGGGGGCAGAGGCGGACTGACAACTCATGGGGCCCCCGGGCAATCGGGGATCATGGAGCCCCTGTGTCCTTGCCCAAACTCAAAAAAGCCTATGAAAAAGGTACCAGGGGCATCTCATGGGGCGCCCTACTGACCCCGGACCCTCGGGCAGTGCCCGAGTTTCCAAATGGTCAGTCCGCCCCTGGAAGGGGGGTAAATCCTCTGGAGGGCAAGTGGTTAAGCTTGCAAGGAACAGCTTCAACAATCATCCATCAAGGTAAAGCCATCCAGGGAGAAACTCCAAAAGACAATGCTACAAAAAAAAAAAAAAAACAGGAAAAAAACATAGTGCTCACTGCTGAAAACTGATTCATTAAAGCTTAAAGTGGAACTGGATGTTTTCACAGCGGCTGTTTTTGGCTTTTGACGTTTTTTTCTACAGCCAGTAAACCCCCCAGCATGTTATCCTATGTGTCCAGACACACATAGACTGGAATCAGCGTTTTTTGGCTGGAAAAAAAAAAACAGAACTAGTGGTTTTCAAGAGGGGTTTTTTAGCTGTAAAAATGCTCTAACGCTGGTAAACGCAGCAAACCGCATTTTTTGAGCCAAAATTGTGTGTGTGTGTGTAAAAAAAAAAAAAACTACAAATCACTAATGTGGAAAAACACAGCTAAACACTAATGCAAAAACATCTGGCTGGGCAGCACAGTGGCTAAGTGGTTAGCACTTTCGCCTGGCAGTACTAGGGTTGTTGGTTCAAATCCCAACCACAGCATCACCTTCCTGGAGTTGCATGTTCTCCCTGTGCCTGCATGGGTTTCCTCAGGGTACTCTGGTTTCCTCCTACACTCCAAAGACATGCTGGTAGGTGAATTGGCTCCTGTCTAAATTGTCCCTAGTATGTGTATGTATGAATGTGAGTTAGGGACCTTAGATTGTACACCCCTTGAGGGTTAGGGACTGATGTGAATGTACAATATATATGTAAAGTGCTGCGTAAATTGACGGCGCTATATAAGTACCTGAAATAAATAAACTGAAAACGTGGAAAAACTCAATTGACATGACTTTATACAGGCAACGCTACCTGCGTTTTTAAAACGCCCCGTGTGCATGAGGGTTATGCTGCTAGCATTACTATATTATATTTGCTTATTTCAAACTTTTTTTTTTTTTACATTTGTTTACATTTTTGTTTACATTTCTTCAGTTCCTTGCTGGTTTCCAGGCCTAGGCAAATGATGTCATACATCCCAGGAGTCTTCAGGATGGAAGGAGGGGTTTTCTCAGCTAAGCTCAATTTACGCAGTGCTTTACATATATATTGTACATTCACATCAGTCCCTAACCCTCAAGGAGCGTACAATCTAAGGTCCCTAACTCACATTCATACATACACATACTAGGGCCAATTTAGACAGGAGCCAATTAATCTACCAGCATGTCTTTGGAGTGTGTGGAAGGAAACCAGAGTACCCGGAGGAAACCCACGCAGGCACAGGGAGAACATGCAAACTCCAGGCAGGTGGTATGATTTTAAATTTTTTTTTTTATTCTTCCACCAGGAATGTTGGAGTCTCAGGAATTTTTCATCGGTCTACGCCATTCTGTCTGCATTACAAAGCACGGCTGTCCATCGGCTGAAGAGAGTCTGGGCCGAGACATCAAAGTAAGGAGGCCTCTCGGCTTAGGTGTGGGAATGCTGTTGATTGGGGAAATATGCAGGTGGGGGGGCCCGGGCCAGACCAGTGAAGACCCAGATTGCAGCAGCATCTGACTCTTGAATGTGCTGCCGGCGTAGGGTATTGCTGCAGCACACAGCATGCAAAAAAAAAATAAACATGAGAATATGTGTTTGTATGTATATTATATTTTTGCTGTCATATTTATTTGTATATATCCCCTTCCAAGTTTGTTCCCTTTTTCCCCTCGTTTTCTTTTTTTTTTTTTTTTTTTTTATATGGTATGCCCTGGTCCTGGGCTCAGGAGCTATTTTTGTTCCCCAGGCAGTGAGGACACGGCTGTTTGTTAGTGGGGGGTGGATGTAGCGCCCTCTAGGTCAGGGTTTCTCAACCAGGATTCCTCCAGAGGTTGGTAGGGGTTGATTGAGCAATGAGTGATTTCTGCCTCTCAGATACGTTCCCACTGACACCATTGGTCTTTTCAGTTATCTGTAAGGAGATAATTCTTCTCAATGGCCAATGTAATTCTTTTCAATGGCCACAAGTGTAAGGAGCATTCTTCCCTCTGACCATCACACCAATGTATCACGAGTTGTAGATATAGTCATTTTTAGCGGGGGTTCACTGGACCGGAAAGTTATTTCAAGGGTTCCTCCATGTTGAAAAGGTTGAGAAAGGCTGCTCTAGGTAGATAAGGTTCTTTTTGTTAGAGGCTTGTTAGAAGGTTGGGATGAGTCAGCCTCAGAGTGAGGCAGTGAGGTTACCTTAGTCCAGGCTGAGAGGCTCTACAGGTCAGGGTTTCTGGAGCCCTCCCGCCCTTCTAGAAGCTTGAGGAACTTTCTAGAAGAGGGGTGGAGAAGAGGAGGAGGCCTAGATTTGCATGTTTAAGGGTACTTGGCCAACCTCCAGGTAGGAGGCCGAGCATGGTGGCTAAAAGCAACTCTTAAATGTGAGACAGTGAGGTTACCTCAGGGCAGGCTGAGAGGCTCTACAGGTCAAGGTTTCTGGAGCCCTCCCACCCTTCTAGAAGCTGGAGGAACTTTCTAGAAGAGGGGTGGAGGAGGCCTAGATTTGCATGTTTAAGGGAACTTGGCCAACCCCCAGGCAGGAGGCCGGGCATGGTGGCTAAAAGCAACCCTTAAATGTGAGGCAGTGAGGTTACCTCAGGGCAAGCTGAGAGGCTCTACAGGTCAAGGTTTCTGGAGCCCTCCCACCCTTCTAGAAGCTGGAGGAACTTTCTAGAAGAGGGGTGCAGGCCTAGATTTGCATGTTTAAGGAAACTTGGCTAACCCCCAGGCAGGAGGCCGGGCATAGTGGCTAAAAGCAAACCTTAAATGTGAAAAAGACTGTGGAACAGGAGTAGTGCTGGTGTTTGGGTGGAAGATGGATTAAGGAAGGTGCTAGAGTATGGAACTTGGAAGAAGCACGGAGCAGTCAGAAGGATGGAGCAGTCAGAAGGATCTCCACCGCCCTACAGTCTTCTAGGGAGGACAGCCTGTCAACAGGGAAAAAGCTAGCCCAGCGTAAAGTCTGAAAGCAGCTGCAACCAACTAAGCTACAGAACAGGACAGTGTGAGGACTCCTACACCCCTTGGGCCACAGAAGGGAGAGGGTGGTCAGCTGCAGGACCCAACTAGTCCTCATCTGGGACTGCTCCACAGTGGATTGTGGAATCCCTTGCCAGAGATACCCTCAGGACAGTTGGGTGGATGAGGAACATTTCATCTGGGGGTCTAAGGAGGTACACCAAGGGGGATTCAGTGCTCCTTAAAGAGTGTTTACTAAGAGGTTGTCCTCAAGTTTTACAGTTCCTTGGGCATCCATATACCCCTAGACCCCATCCAAGTTGTTAACCCCTTAATAAAAAGAGCAAAACCAATCTCAAGGACTGTGTTACTGACTCTCGGAGAAAATGTGGAAAAATGCATGTTGCTTGACTGTGCACAGCTTAAGGGGACCCAGCAAAATCCAGCGGCCCCCAAGAGGGTAGAGCTACATTAAGATCTTATTCATATTATAATGTGTATGCAGTCTACCTCCAATACAGCAATAAATGCTCAGTTGTGCTTTAAGGAATCGATCAGTGATGTTGTGATAATGTCACTGCAGGGAGATCCAGCGCAGTTACCAGGAAATGCATGAGGTATTCTCGGAGCAAGACAATTACGCCAGGATGAGAGAGCTGCTCTTCCAGGTGAGGATTCTTCCACCCTGATCTACTGTACAGTTAATGCTTTGTGGTTGGTGCCTCTGCCTTGCAGCCCCGTGTCCCCCGATTTGAATCCCCATCATAACGCTATCTGCATGGAGTTTGCATGTTCTCCCTGTGCCTGTGTGGGTTTCCTCCGAGTACTCCAGCTTCCTCCCACACTCCAAAGACATGCTGGTAGGTTATTTGGCTCCTGTCTAAACCGGCCCTAGTATGTGAGATTAAATCAAAATTTGGACAAAACTTTCATTATTCAGAAACAGGGCGGACTGAACATTTGGAAACTCGGGCACTGCCCGAGGGCCCAGATTCAGTAGGGGGCCCCATGAGATGCCCCTGGTACCTTTTTCATAGGCTTTTTTGAGTGTGAGCAAGGACACAGGGGCCCCATGATCCCCTATTGCCCGGGGCCCCATGAGTTGTCAGTCCGCCCCTGTTCAGAAATTTGGATGTATCCCAATTTCCGAATTACAATAGTAACAAATTTAAAACAAACTATTCTATTTCGATTCAAATTCAAAAACAAATTCGAACTGTAAACATATTGCTGACTAGTGCTGATTTCCTTCAAGGACTGTGTGTATTAGTGTTAGACTATAGCCGTCTTGTGAAATTCGAATTTTGAAAAGAATAGAATAAAACAGGATAGAATAGATAATAAAAGAATAGAATAAAATAGAAAAGAATATAAAAGAAATTAATAGAATAGAAAAAAAAAGAATAGAATGGAATAAAATATAGCCATCTTCCGAAATTCGAATTTTGAAAAGAATGTAACAGAATAGAAAAGAATAGAAAAGAAAATAATAGGGTAGAAAATAAAAGAATAGAATTGAAAAAAAAATGTATCAGAATAGAAAGAATATAGCTGTCTTGTGAAATTCGAATTTTGAAAAGAATGTAATAGATTAGAAAAGAATAGAATAGAAAATAATAGGGTAGAAAATAAAAAAAAAATAGAAAAAAGGAATAGAATGGAAAATAATAGACTAGAGAAAAAGAATAGAATGAAATAGAATATAGCCGTCTTCCAAAATTCGAATTTTGAAAAGAATGTAATAGAATAGAATAAAAAATATTAGGGTAGAAAATAAAAGAATAGAATGGAAAAAAATGTAATAGAATATAGCCGTCTACTGAAATTCGAATTTTGAAAAGAATGTAATAGAATAGAAAAAAATAGAATAGAAAATAATAGGGTAGAAAATAAAAGAATAGAATGGAAAAAAATTGAATAGAATATAGCTGTCTTCTAAAATTTGAATTTTGAAAAGAATGTAATAGAATAGAAAAGATTAGAAAGGAAAATAATAATAGGGTAGAAAATAAAAGAATAGAATGGAAAAAATGAATAGAATAAAATAGAAAAAAGGAATGGAATGGAATAGAAAAGAAAATAATAGTAGAGAAAAAGAATAAAATAAAATAGAATATAGCCGTCTTCCAAAATGTTAATTTTGAAAAGAATGTAATAGAATAGAATAAAAAATATTAGGGTAGAAAATAAAAGAATAAAATGGAAAAAAAATGTAATAGAATATAGCCGTCTTCTGAATTTCGAATTTTGAAAAGAATGTAATAGAATAGAAAAAAATAGAATAGAAAATAATAGGGTAGAATAGAATGGAAAAAAATTGAATAGAATATAACAGAATATAGCTGTCTTCTGAAATTCGAATTTCAAAATTTGAATTGAATAGAATAAAATACTAGGAATATAGCCATCTTCTGAAATTCAAATTTCGAAAAGAATAGAATAAAACACAATATATTAGAAAATACAATAATAGAATAGAAAATAGAGGAATAGAATAAAAAAAAAACTATAAATGGGTAAAAAGATCAGTGAGCGCTTAATAATAGCCACTAATGCACACAAAAGGTAACCAGATAAAACCTCCACATATACTAAAAAGGTGCAGCACTAAAATATATATTAAACCAAATAGTAATCCAAATAATAAAATATAGTAATATGTAGATCATAAAAGGAATAAAATTATTAAATGTTCATAAAGTGACAGTTCCTGCTAAGGTGCCAGTTGATTGCTCCAGAATTCAGTGATGTGCCAAAGATGTGGTAAAAAATACGCACTCACCAGATGCGTATTTTAAATACGAATGTAAATAATATAGCCAGAGGTCCCCTCTAAGGATGGAATGGATGAGGTAAGCCCGGGTACGGATTCTCCTCCCTAGTAGTATACGGCCCTGCGGATGTCTCCTGGGTGTACAAGGATTGAATCCTGCCGGAGGTCCCCTTAAAAAGGATGGATGGGTGTTTTACAGCCTGTAGTAGAAAACTCCCTCCTCTGGTTCTGTGGGATACTGCAGCCATCTTCCAAGGTGGGCTCTGCAAGTGAATTCAGCTTGATATGGAGCCAGAGAATAGCCCACAGTGCAGTATTGCATTCAAAATGTATTGAACATCCAGGTGGTAAAACAATATAAAAGTATTCATGTAAAGTAATGTGGAGAGGGACTGACCATCCACCAAGCAAGGATGGAGCCAATACGCCGTGATGTCACGCCGCCAGAGCCTCGTGAAGATCCGGCAGCCATCTTGCTTGGTGGATGGTCAGTCCCTCTCCACATTACTTTACATTATTTACATGCGAATTTAAAATACACATCTGGTGAGTGCGTATTTTTACCACATCACTGAATTCTGGAGCAATCAACTGGCACCTTAGCACAAACTGTCACTTTATGAACATTTAATAATTTTATTCCTTTTATGATCTACATATTACTATTTTTTATTATTTGGATTACTATTTGGTTTAATATATATTTTAGCGCTGCTCTTTTTTAGTAGCATAAAAAAACTGAATAAAATAGAAGGAATATAGCCATCTTCTGAAATTCAAATTTTGAAAAAGGATAGAATGGAATAGAATAAAACAGAACATAATAGAAAATAAAAGAATAGAATAGAAAATAAAGCAATAGAATACAAAGAATATAGCCGTCTTCAGAAATTAGAATTTCAAATGGAATAGAACCGGCAATTCTTTAAAATGAATTTGAATCGATTGCATATTTTCGATTCAAATTCGATTAGAACACTGCGAATCCTTAGGAAAAATTTTAATCCGGTTTAAAGCGAATAAAAATGCAATAAACTTAGTAAACTGAACAAATTGTCCGAAACAAAACAAAATGAACTCTTTCGTCCTGCACATGTCCGTGTGGGATGGGCACCTTAGATTGTAGTGCACATGAATTGTCAGCACCAGGGGCGGACTGACCATTTGGAAACTTGGGCACTGCCGAGGGCCCGGGGTCAGTAGGGGGTACCCCATGAGATGATCCCCCCTGGTACCTTTTTCATAGGCTTTTTTGAGTTTGGGCAAGGACACAGGGGCCCCATGATCCCCTATTGCCCGGGGGCCCCATGAGTTGTCCGTCCGCCCCTGGTCAGCACTATACAAAAACCTGTATTACATGAAGAAATGTTACCATTGCCTAACTCTGCTGTCTGTCCTCCAGTCTCAGGACAGTTCTGATGCAACCTCCAAAAGGCATCCGCCTCGCTCCAAGGACCCCAGAGCCACGGTGAGTGTCCTCCACTTCTGATCACATGGGGAAAATAGCATTTCATCACTTTGACTTTTTTGAGACTGAGACGCACACAGAACTGAAATCGCAACATCATCTTGTTTCTATGCTTTGCTTCTGAACAAGCCAGGTGCATTATCTGCTGCGTTTACTTCCACGGACACTTGTTCGTCCTCCTGCACACGGGACGTACTTACAGCGGCTTTTGACTTTTGATGTTTTTTTCTACAGCCAGTAAACTTCCCATCTGCCCATTCTCCTCTGACCTCTGACATCAACTAGGAATTTTCATCCAAACATCTACCGCTCACTCAATATTTTCTCTTTTTCGGACCATTCTCTGTAAACCCTAGAGATGGTTGTGCGTGAAAATCCTAGTAGATTAGCAGTTTTTGAAATACTCAGACCAGCCCGTCTGGCACCAACAACCATGACATGTTCAAAACTTGGGGGAAGGGTGTAGCCCGTAGTGGATTTTATACCACAGAGGTTCTGTGTGCTCCAAAAACGTACTGAGGAATGACTTTATGGTGGATACAGGAAAACCCTGGTTTCTCTGGGCCAGAGATGGTGAACCTTTTATAGATCGAGTGCCCAAACTGCACCCCAAAACCCACTTATTTATCGCAAAGTGCCAACACTGCAATTACACCTGAATATTGAGGTTATAGTTTAGAAAAAACAACCCCCATACAGTAATATCCTTTGTCACACAAATACAACACAATAACAGCTTCTACTTACCAGCAGCACAAGGGGGCAAAGTTCCACTGACCACCAGCACAAGGGGGGGGCAAAGTTCCACTGACCACCAGCACAAGGGGGGGCAAAGTTCCACTGACCACCAGCACAAGGGGGCAAAGTTCCACTGACCACCAGCACAAGGGGGCAAAGTTCCACTGACCACCAGCACAAGGGGGCAAACACTGACCCCCAGGGGGGCAAAGTTCCACTGACCCCCAGCACAGGGGGGCAAAGTTCCACTGACCAGCAGCACAGGGGGGCAAGGTGCCACTGACCAGCAGCACAAGGGGGCAAGGTGCCACTGACCAGCAGCACAAGGGGGCAAGGTGCCACTGACCAGCAGCACAAGGGGGCAAGGTGACCGCCACTGACCAGCAGCACAAGGGGGCAAGGTGCCACTGACCGCCAGCACAAGGGGGCAAGGTGCCACTGACCGCCAGCACAAGGGGGCAAGGTGCCACTGACCGCCAGCACAAGGGGCAAGGTGCCACTGACCGCCAGCACAAGGGGGCAAGGCGCCACTGACCGCCAGCACAAGGGGGCAAGGCTCCACTGACCGCCAGCACAAGGGGGCAAGGCTCCACTGACCGCCAGCACAAGGGGGCAAAGCGCCACTGACCGCCAGCACAAGGGGGTCAATTTCCACTGACCGCCAGCACAAGGGGGCAAAGTGCCAGTGACCGCCAGCACAAGGGGGCAAAGTGCCAGTGACCGCCAGCACAAGGGGGCAAAGTGCCAGTGACCGCCAGCACAAGGGGGCAAAGTGCCAGTGACAGTGACAAGGGGGCAAAGTGCCGACCGCCAGCACAAGGGGGCAAAGTGCCAGTGACCGCCAGCACAAGGGGGCAAAGTGCCAGTGACCACCAGCACAAGGGGGTCAATTTCCACTGACCGCCAGCACAAGGGGGCAAAGTGCCAGTGACCGCCAGCACAAGGGGGCAAAGTGCCAGTGACCGCCAGCACAAGGGGGCAAAGTGCCAGTGACCGCCAGCACAAGGGGGCAAAGTGCCAGTGACCGCCAGCACAAGGGGGCAAAGTGCCAGTGACCGCCAGCACAAGGGGGCAAAGTGCCAGTGACCACCAGCACAAGGGGGTCAATTTCCACTGACCACCAGCACAAGGGGGCAAAGTGCCACTGACCACCAGCACAAGGGGGCAAAGTGCCACTGACCACCAGCACTTGCTAACATCTTGTGTTAAAAAAATGAATGTATTAAAACTCACAGCCAGTCCAATAAATATATATCCTTGGCAGCGCACTGACTGGCCATGCGAAAGCTTGGACAAGTCGTGGCTTATGAGTCGCAGCTCATGATGTCATCGCCTGGCGCTCCTACTCCTTTCTGATCATGCGCATGGCCCCTATGTGCTCTGTTATCCGATTCTCGGCTGCTGGGGCGGCTTGGCCCATGTGCTGACCGAGAGGACTCTACATGCCCGCCGCGGCACATGTGCCATAGGTTCACCACCACTGCTCTAGGTGGTGTCAGAGTATCTACCTCGCTTTATATTTCATACTGTTCCTGATTCTCATCTTTTGCCAGTCGGGGGTCTGAATTTTATCTTTTTCTATTATCACCGCACAGGGGGTGATCCCGTATCTTGGAGTCTTCCTCACAGACCTGGTCATGCTGGATTCTGCCATCCGAGATCAGCTGGAGGTGAGATTTTCTGTCTGTTTCTTGGATGGATTTTGAAAACTGTAGCTGAATTTTATGTTCTATTCTTTCTATTTTCTTTTTTTTTTTCAGAACGGATATCTTAACTTTGAGAAGAGAAGAAAGGTGAGTGCGGAACATGAACAATATCACATTATCACGGGCAATAGCATGTTTACTACAGTAGTCACAAGACGGATACTACGAATGTTCATTCATGTTGCCAACTTAACCCTTTCGCTGCCACAGCCGTTTTTGCACACGTTTACAAAATCATTTTAGGCCTGAAGATTACACAAAACCCCCAAACGTGATATATTTTCTGAAAGCAGACACCCCAGAGAATAAAATAGCAGAAGTTCCAATTTTTTATGTCACACGGTATTACAGGTAATGTCCAGGAAACGCTAAATTTCAGTAAAAAAAACACACTAAGGTGAATTTTAGGGCAAACAAATGCAATACATTACCCAGAGTTTTGGTAAAATATAAAAGACGAGTAAATAGATACCCAACAGGTCAAACCTTAAATTTGCGTGTGCCTGTGAAATGGTGTCAAACTTCAATACCCAATATTTTCTATAGGCGAGGCTTCATAAGCCCCCTATAGGTCAGTTCAGTGTTTCTGCTAGAATTATTGCTCTCGCTCCGGCGTGCGCAACGATATGTAATATGGGTATCGCAATCGACGTTATCATGAGTAGGTGCCCCCATCGCGTACGTTTACATGCATATATGTGGGGGTGGGGGGCCGCCCGACTGCTTCCACCTAATAGGTAGGAGTCTGCTTGTCAGTTTTGGACATAATCCTGGTGACTACTGGATTGTGTGTAAGCCCCCCCGCTGTCAGGTCCATACGACATACGGATCTGGCAGCGAAAGGGTTAAAGCGGAACTGCACTGCACCTGGGCACCACAAACAAAACGTAATCTAATGAATATTTAATATTCAAAGCAAACTCTCCCCCATCCAGCCATGTCTCCGCGCTTTATTTTGCTTAGAAATCATTTTGAAAAAGCCACCCCTAGAATTTCTGGCCATGGCCATCTTGAGTAGGGGCAGGAGATTTATGTAGCATAGACTCCCTGGAATCCATCTGCCTTCAGTTCAGGCATACAAGCAGGAGGGCGTGCTTAGATGAGAAAAATCCCCTACTCCCCTCCAGAAGACTTCTGAGATGTATGACATTGTTTGTTTGCCTAGGTCAGAAACCAGGAAGTAACTGAAGAAAGGATAAAAAGAGTTTAAAACAAGTAATTATGATATACATATCTATTCCTATCTATTTACTAATGCTGGCAGCATAAGGATTAAAAATAGTCAATGTTGAATGAGAGAAACAAGTTGCGCTTTAAATAATATAATGAAGCCAATTACTAAAATCTCATACAAGCTTCGGCAATGTTTGATTTTGCCAGGGTGGGTTTCTTGATGGTGAAAACAGTATACCATGTCAGGTGTATTATAATTGCCACTCATAGTCTCCATCAGAAGCCCATTAGACAGGGTGACAACACAGGTGCACAATTGGGAGGCAGGAACAGAGCGTTGTCACCCCATCAGAGGAAGTACTTGAGCAACCCATATGGAAGAAAAATATTTTTGAATTATATTTTCAAAATATTCTTCCCACATATATCGACATATATTGGAAATGCTACAATTTTGCCCATATTCTCTCTCTCTCTCTATATATCTCTATATATATATATATAATTATTCTACAGTATTTATATAGCGCCAAAGGGTATGCTCAGCGCTGTACAGTAGCAAGGGGGACATAACATGAGACAAGACAGTGTGTGTATGTGTGTATGTATATATATTATTATATTACTGCATGTTGTAATACAAATGTTTGTAATACAAAGTATATGAAAAATATTTTTAAAAAACACATTTCAAATATACTGTCTGTGTCTTTAAAAATACAAATCTACATTTTTGGAATTTACAAATATATGTAATAAAATATGTTAAAATTACTTTTTTATATGTTAAAAAAATCTGAAGAATATATTTAAAAATATATTTTTTAAAATATTTTTCTTTAAAATATATTTTCATGCAAAATTTATATATATTGTATATATATAAAAATATATATATATATATATATATTTATTAATTATTTTTATTTTTTTTTTTTAAATATATTGAATATGGCCAAAATTGTAGCATTTCCAATATATGTCAATATATTTGGGAAGAATATTTTTTAAATATATTTCAAATATATTTTTCTTCCATATGGAAAGCACCTTCATGGCAGGATCACCAAGTACTTAATGACAGCTTCAGATTTAAAAATATTGAAAATTACTTTAGAAATGATATACTACAGTCATGGCCCCTGCATTTCTGTCTGATAATGCACTACTACACCCAGAAAATGGTTGCAATTACAAATGTTTCGGCACTATCATGTTTATTTCTTTTGTTTGTATTAATATGACACAAAAAAGTGGAGAAACAAAAAGCCAAATCTGACACATTCCACGCAAAACCCCAAAAATGGACTGGACACAATTATTGGCACCTTCTCAAAACTGTAAGAAATAATTGCGTTCCAAGTTTGAGATGCTCCTGTAATTTGTAATTAAACTCACCTGTATCAATCAACAGGTGCTGACAATATAGAAATTGCACCAACAACCAGTTAAAATGGTGAAGAATGGACTCCACCTTTTTGTTTTGTGTCTCTGTGTGCCGCATGGAGCTTGGAGAAGAGAAAGAGCAGCAAAGAATTGTCTGAGGATTTGAGAACAAAAATTGTGGAAAAAAGCATGGACAATCCCAAGGTTTCATATCCATCTCCAGAGATCTTAATGTTCCTGTGGCCACTGTGCGCAACATTGTCAAGAAGTTTACAGCCCATGGCCCTGTAGCTGGATGTGGACGAAAGAGAAAAATTGATCAAAGATTGCAACGAAGGATTGTTTGAATGGTGGCAAAAGAACCTCGACCAACTTCCAGACAAATTCAAAATGACCTTCAGGCTCTGGGTACAACTGTGTCAGCTCACACTATGTGTCAGCTCACACTATACGTCATCTGAATGAAAAGGGACGCTATGGCAGGAGATCCAGGAGGACCCCACGGATGACACAGAAACATAAAAAAGCCAGACTGGAGTTTGCCAGAACTACCTGAGGAAGCCAAAATCCTTTTGGGAGAATGTGCTGAGGACAGACGAAAGAAAATTACATCTTTTTGGTAAAGCCCATCATTCTACTCTTTTCAGAAAAATAAATAAGTCCTTTAAAAAAAAGAATCCAGTCCCTCCAGTCACACATGGTGGGGGGGTCACTGATGTTTTGGGGTTGCTTTGCTGCTTCAGGCACTGGATGTCTTGACCGTGTGCATGGCATTATGAAATCTGAAGACTACCAAAGAATTCTGGGGTGCAATGTAGGGCCTGGTGTCAGGAAGTTGGGTCTCCATCAGAAGTCATGGGTCTTACAGCAGGACAATGACCCAAAGCACACGTCAAAAAGCACCGAGAAATGGTTTCAGGCAAAGCGCTGGTGAGGACTGAACTTGCCAGCAATGAGTCCAGATCTCAATCCCATAGAGCTCCTGTGGAGAGATCTCAGAACAGCAGTTGGGAAAAGGAATCCTTCCAATCTGAGAGACCTGGAGCAGTTGATGATAGAAGAGCTCTCCAAAATTCCAGTAGAGAGGTGGAAGAAACTCAATGATGGTTACAGGAAATTATATTTCAGATTTTTTTTTTGTTTTTTTATTTTTAATAAATTGCAGAGATTTCAAAACTAACTTCTTTCACGTTGTCATTATGGGGTATTGTTTGTAGAATGTTGAAGAAAAAAAATGAATTTAATTAATTAATTTTGGAATAAGGCTGTAACATGACAAAATGTGGCGAAAGTTCAGCACTGGGAATACTTTCTGGATGCACTGTAGGTGACATTTGGAGGGGGGGGGTGTTTTTGTTGCATCTACATTTCCTAACTGTCATTGCAATGTTCCGGTTTTAGGAGTTTGAGTCGCTTTCCCAGATTCGAATCCTGCAAAATGTCTGTGTGGGATACCGGTTCACTTCTGATCCACAGTTTGTCAGCTGGTTCCAAAATATGCGCTCAATGAGGGAGGATGAGAGGTGAGTCTACCCTGCATGACCAGAACCAAGCCATCTCCAGGCTTCCAGTCAATGGGCCATTAATGTAAAATTGCATCACAACAGGGATTGAGTCTATTCTTCTGGGGCAGGGATGTCAAACTGGCGGCCCCCCAGCTGTTGTGAAACTACAAGTCCCATCATGCCTCTGCCTTTGGGAGTCATGCTTGTAACTGTCAGTCTTGCAATGCCTCATGGGACTTGTAGTTTGGCAACAGCTGGGGGGCCACCAGCTTGACACCTGTGGTCTAGGGCGTTACTTCCTTGCTGGTCAGATCAGCTGGATAGTAGATTTATTCCAGGCATTTACAGTGCCCACAACTTATGGATCGCTTTACATGCTGTACACTTACATCAGTCCCTGCCTTCAATGACTCGACAATCTAACTTTAGGCAGAAACCAATTAACCTGCTAGCAAGTCTTTGGAGTGTTGGAGGAAACTGGAGTACCTACAGAAAACTAGACCTGTGCGGTTCGTTTTATTCCAAATCAAAATTCGGATGCAATTTTTGCGTTCCAATAGTAACGAATTTAAACAAATCTGAAATAGCAAAATTAAATTTTGTCTAAAAGAGTGAATTAATTATTTGAATCGAAACGAATTCAAAAACAAAATCGAAAAAAAGACTGTGTATTAGTGTTAGAATATAGCTGTCTCGATTTTGAAAAGAATAGAAAATAAAAGAATAGAATAAAAAATAAAAGAATATAGCTCACTTCTGAATTTCGAATAGAATAAAATAGAAAGAAATTCGAATTTCGAAAAGAATAGAAGGGAATAAAAAAAAAAAAACAGACTAAAATAGAATAGAATAGAATAAAACAATACACTAAAGGAATAGAATAGAATAAAATAGAATATCGCTGTCTTCTGTAATTCAAATAGCGAAAAAAGACTAGAATTGAGTAAGTTAGAATAGAAAAGAATAAATATAATAAAACAGAATAGAAAATAAAAGAACAGAATAGAAAACAAAGTAATAGAACAGAACATAGCCATCTTCTGATATTTCAACTTCGAAAAGAATAGAACAGAATTAAATTGAATAGAAAAGAATAGGATAAAATGGAATATAAAAGAAAATAAAAGGAATAGAAAAGAATAGACTAAAATAGAATATAGCCGTCTTCTGAAATTTGAATTCCAAAAAATAGAATTGAATAAAAATAGAATAAAAATAGAATAATACAGTATAGAATAGAAAATAATAGAATAGACTAGAATAGAAAGTGAAGGAATAGAATAAAATGGAATATAGCCATCTTCTGAAATTTAAATTTAGACAAGAATAGAACTGAATAAAATGTGATGGATTTGGTAAAATGCCTATTTCGTTTCCTATTGAATATAATATATATACACTATTTTTATACACATTTTTATACATATTTACTTTTAAACTTTAATACATATGTTGTGTGAATATTTTCTGCCTGCTGGGCTTTGTGGTACTATAAGCAATCCTTAAGAAATGTCTGCTCACATGCACAGACCCCCTCCCACCGTGTGATTTGGAAGACAAAAGAATGTTTTCCTATGAGATAAGGCCTGGAAAGAAGATCACACCTATACCATGATGGAGATTGTTTTCGTGTGGAAATGACCAATCAAAGACTAATATAATGCTTATGCTGTTGTCACATGACTCTCGCATCATTTTGCATATATAAGCTCACTTTCTCATTATAATAAACTAGAAGTGTTCATAGACTGAACTTGTGTGTCAGCGTGAGTCTCTTCCAGTGTGCGCAGATTCCAGGGCTGGCCAGCATCATAAATTAGGACAGGAACAGATAAGCACTGGACGATTAAGTCCTCAACTAAATCAAAAATAGAATAGAAAATAAAGGAATAGAATAAAAAAATAATAGAATATAGCTGTGTTCCGAAAATTCAAACTTCAAATAGAATAGAACCAGCCATTCTTCACAATGAATTTGGAGCGATGCAATACTTTTGTTTCAAATTACATTGGAAAAAATTTAAATCCGGTTGAAAATGAATAAATGGGTCAAAACTAAACTAAACAAATTTTGGTACGAATGCAACTAAACTACATTAATAACTTCGAGAACTGAAATGAAACCATTTTTTTTTTTCATTCTGCGCATGAGCTCTCAGCCACTGTGCTGTCTGTAGGTAGTGAAGCATAACATACCTAACATTCACTGTAATGCAGAATAAAGGAATCTGATTGCCGGGTCCTTTTTAAATAAAAGTAGGATTCTAATTGGTTGCTTTTGCCTGTTACAGGATTTTGTGTGATCTTGTCATGTGACTGCTGCACATTTGATTTCTTCTGCAGTTATCGACTGTCATGTGACATTGAGCCAACGCAGGACACGCCGGCAGTGACCCCAGTGAAGCCCACAGTGGTCATCACACACTGCACTGAGTGAGTAAATGACGGGTATCCGCATTCATAGCGCTCTCGGTGTCAATGATATTGTTTTCTTAAAGTGTAAATTTACCTTCAGGACGGTTTTCCAAACATACCCCGGTGTGATTTCTATATCCAATGAATAGAATGTACCAGAACTCCTCCTGCTGTGATGTTGGATGTCCTCCCATTACAGACGCAGCTGTTGGAGAGCCTCCCTACAGAAACTACTCACCATGATACCTGCCCTAATACCATTCTGCCATTTGCAGGATCAGCTGATCATCACAATAATGTGCCCCCCCCCCCCCCCCGGCCATTCACACTGCATGCATGCCAAGTGTGCCCCCCCAGCTCTAGTATGGCTGCTCCAGGCCATACAAATTGCACACATGTGCAGTGCGTGGTCTTTTCTCTCTTGTGAGCTCAGCTAGCGATGGAGAGCATGTACTGCACATGCGCGCAATTTGCATGGCCTGGAGCAGCCACTACTGAGCTCAGCTAGAGATGGAGACCACATACACATGCGTGCAATTTGCATGGCCTGGAGCAGCCACTACTGAGCTCAGCTAGAAACGGAAACCATGTACCGTGCAGCCACTACTGAGCTCGTCAGAGATGTAAACCACGTACTGCACTTGCACGCAATTTGCATGGCTTGGAGCAGCCACTACTGAGCTCAGCTAGAAATGGAAACCATGTACCGCGCAGCCACTACTGAGCTCAGCTAGAAATGGAGACCATGACCACGCAGCCACTACTGAGCGCAGATAGAGATAGAGACCACGTACCACACATGCGTGCAATTTGCCTGGCCTGGAGCAGCCACTACTGAGCTCAGCCAGAGATAGAGACCACATATGCGTGCAATTTGCATGCCTGGAGCAGCCACTACTGAGCTTAGCTAGAGATGGAGACCACATACCACGCAGCCACTACTGAGCTAAGCAAGCAGCACACACTGAGCACTTGCAGTTTGCACGGCTCTCTAGATCATTGAGTACGGCTAAGTTCACACTGCTGCGGTCTCTAAGCCTCCGGTCACATCAAGCCCAACTTTGAAATTGTGCGACTTACAGTGAGGTCGCACAATTTCAAAGTCGGGGGAACCACCGATTTCAGGTGCGATTTGCAAGACATCTGACCAGGGGGCAGACTGACCATTTGGAAACTCGGGCACTGCCCGAGGGCCCGGGGTCAGTAGGGGGCCCCATGAGATGCCCCTGGTACCTTTTTCATGGGCTTTTTTGAGTTTGGGCAAGGACACGGGGGCCCCCTAATCCCCTATTGCCCGGGGGCCCCATGAGTTGTCAGTCCACCCCTGCATCTGACACAGATGTCTATGCAAATGGCACCAAAAGTAATGCATGTACTACTTTAGAAATCAGTGTGGCTCCGACCAAGTCAGAACCGCACCGATATATGACTGCTCCAATTGCAGACAATAGGGTGCGACTTGGCATACGATTTGCAAGTCGCATGGCATGCAAATCGCATGCCAAATCGCACCCGATGTGACCGGGGTGTTAGGCTCTGTTCACACCTATGCCGTTTGCTTTTGGCCCATTTTGCAGTGATTTTCGCAGTTCGTTTTGCGTTTTTTTACACACATTTGTTCCGCATTTTGTGTTTTGTTCAGCTCTTTTTTTTTTTTTATGTGGAAAATTTTTGTGGAATTGCAAAGCGACGCAAAATTGCGGCAAAAACGCACTACCAAGCTTTTCAGCAGATTTACTATTGAACTCTATTGTAGCAGAAACACTGCTTTTTGCTTTTAAAAAAGTCCCTGACCCTTTCCAAAAACGCAGCAGCTCAAAAAAAGAATAAATGTGTACATGTTTCATAGGAAACCACACTGAATGGACTGTAGTGCGTTTCTGCAAAAAGCAGTAAAAAAACGCATTGGTGTGAATGGAGCCTAAAAAAGCGATTCGCGGTAGACCCCCTTATAGAGGGCAGCAGAGCACTGGCTTTTTTTTTTTTTCTTTGCCAAAGGCCAATTTAAAATGTAACTAATGTGCCACATCTGTGACCTATGTGTTGGGCTCGTGGTTGCAGTGCAGCTCAAATAACTTAACCACTTCCAGTCCGGACACTTTCACCCCCTTCCAGTCCAGGCCAATTTTCAGCTTTCACTGCTATCACACTTTGAATGACAATTGCGCGGTCATGCAACACTGTACCCATATGAATTTTTTAGCATTTGTTTGAGACAGATAAAGCTTTATTTTGGTGGTATCTATTCACCACTGGGATTTTTATTTTATTTTTTTGCTATATAAAATGAAAAAGTCCCAAAATTTTTTTAAAGTGTTTTTCTTATAAAATTTTGCAAAGAAATTATATTTCATCATAAATATTGGCCAAAATGTATTCAGTTATCTTTTTAGAATAACCCAAATTAGTTTATAACCAAAAATTATCATTTTAAAAAATGTATTTTTTACATTTTTATTTTATTTTTTTTGTTTTACATACTGTCACCCTAGCAGTACACTGTACTACTTGTGGGGGGTGATGAAGAATTTTATTTTTTTGCACTGATTGCTTTTGCACCCGTAAAGGCTGTAAAAGCAATCATTTCTCCTTCTCTCTGGCTGCCTTCTTGCAGCTGTTGAGAAATAATGTGTGAGCTGTGATTGGTCACAGCTTGTCACATGGTACAAGGCTGTTGTGAATAGCCTTGTGCCATGTGATCTCTGTGATCATTCACAGATTTCACACGTAGTAAGCAAGGATTTCAGAAGTGACATCTTGCTTACTACTATTCATGTGATCACTGATTGGCCAATCAGTGATTACATAATCGTGACCTCACACAGAGGTCCCGTACAACGATCGGTGTTCCACTGTGTCCAGAAAACACAGCGGGCAGCGGATCGCAGTGCTGCGCACTCCCAGGGAGCGCGCACAAGCAGGGAGGCTATCTATAAACGGCCACCTGACCCTGCACTGCCACCGTCTATAGATAACGGCTGGACGGGAGGTGGTTAAAGGATAAGTTAACTTTTTGGACAAAAATAATAGATGCACATTATTTTGCAGATAAAAAATGTGCATTTATTATTTTTGTCTACAGGACACTGGAAAGCATTGCACCTGTGATCAGTAGATCGCTGATGCCATACAGGTCTCCTGCAGACCTGTCAGAATATCTGCTTGCCATACGAGATGTACAGTCAAGCAGATATGGTGACAGGAAGCTTCAATGAACTACCAGGATGCTCCACAGTGCCGTGGTGGTTCATTGAAAACTTCAAGCCAAGAGCCGCTAAGGCTACCAGTACTTGCAGTTCATTCACTCATGGAAGTCCCGGAGCCCCGCACTTCCACACTTTTTCAAATCTGACAGTATGGGGAGACGTCTCCCTGTATTATCTGTCAGGGGGAGGTGGGTGTGACTTGTACATTCACATCAGTCCCAAACCCTCAAGGGGTGTACAATCTAAGGTCCCTAACTCACATTCATATACTAGAGCCAATTTAGACAGGAGCCAATTAACCTACCAGCATGTCTTTGGAGTGCCTGGAGGAAGCCCACACAGGCACAGGGAGAACATGCAAACTTCAGGCAGGTGGTGGTGTGGTTGGGATTCGAACCAATGACCTGCGTACTGCCAGGCAGAAGTGCTAACCATTTAGCAACTGTGCTGCCCCATTTCTATGTTGTGTAATGCAGGAATGATCTATATTTCAGTAAATTTTGTACTTTGCCGAGAGTTCACTTGACTCGTAAAAAACTGACACTTACAGAAGAGATATGCTATATCACATCTGCAATAGTGAACACATACTTGCCTGCTCACAGTCTTCTATGAAATGCACATTGAGCTGCACATGCACATGCTTGTGTTACTTGGCCTGTACCAGAATGACAGAATCTAGTGTGCGGGATGACGTCATTCCCTGACTGACCAATCAAGAGGCACAAAACCTGGCCAGGGGAGAAGGTGAGACTGGTCGGGATGGTAGGGATTAAAGGGGAGGTTCACCTTTTTTCCAAAAACAAATAAATGCTCTTTTTTTGCAGGTAACACAATGTGCATTAATATTTTTTGTTTCTGGAGCCTGCAAAGCGTTGCACCGGCAATCAGCAGATGGCTGGTGCCATGCAGGTCTTCTGTAGACCTGTCAGTATATCTGCTTCTCTTTACGGGATGTACGAACCAGCAGATATATTGACAGGATGAATCAATGAACTACCACGGCGCTCCATGCTAAGGTTGCCGGGACTTGTAGTTCATTCCTGCACAGAACACCGTGAATGAATGACGCGGGCCGAGCAGCTAGCGGGGAGGAGAAGATCGCCCCCTAGCTGCCACAGTGGGGAGGAGCGGGCAGGGCTGTGGATAAGGGGGTACCACCAGTCCTCCTGTAGGGGGCCCAAGCCAGCAGGGGGGCCCAGGCAGCTGGGTGAATCAGATGTGGGCAGGGAGGGTGATCAAAACAGCGGAGGGGCAATTACCAAAACTGATCCCCTGTATGGCTGTTTCTGCAGCAGCAGAAAGCCAACTTCTCTCCCTTCCATCGGCTTTCAGCTGCTGCAGACAGAGAGCCATACAGGGGATCAGTTCTGGTAATTGCCCCTCCGTCATGCCTATGACCCTCCTTGTGCACCATATCTTTCCCCCTGCTGCCCAGTCCCCCCCCACCCCCACAGTGCTGCCGGCTACCCTCCTTTCCCTCCCTCCGGCACATGCAGGCACTAGGACAATAGGATCCTTCTAGATGGTGAGTGGAGGAAGGTTCCAGTATATATGTCACATTTACCAGCCCCTTCCTTTCCTGAATGAACACAATGAGCGATCAGCACTGATTACTTGCTGTGTTCATTCATAACTGGTTCCTTTTATTTATTTGTTTTTTTTTGGGGGGGGGGTGGCTGTCAAGTTTGATGTATGGGGCCCCGTGGTTTCTAACAGCAGCCCTGGGAGCGGGGGCTGATCCATTCATAACATGTTACACCCTGAATATGGGTCGAACATGTAACATGTTACAAAAGGTGTCTAAAAGTGCAGCGCTATAAAACGCACAAACTGTATGAAAATATGAATACGGTAATTCTCATAAAATGTTACAAAAGGTGAACTTGTCCTTTAGCCACCACATTCTCTGTAATGAGGAGGCGAATATATTTGTGGGGTTATTTCCGATATGCAATGTATAACACTCCCGCTTCCTTTTGTCTCTGCAGTCTTTTGGCTTCCATTGTTGCTCCATTCGGATCCAGCATGCACTTGGTGTCTTGGGATGTGCCCTCTGACCGACTCATGGCGCCCGGCCTCACAGCGGTATTGATGTTTTTCCTTTACGTGTGTTCTGCCCGGCCAGCCATTGTTTTATCCAATCCTAGTTATTGTAAAAGAAAACCCCAGTAGGTGAGAGGGAGGACACTGACCATTTGGAAACTCGGGCACTGCCCGAGGGCCCGGGGTCAGTAGGGGGCCCCATGAGATGTCCCTGGTACCTTTTTCATAGGTTGTTTTGAGTTTGGGCAAGGACACGGGCCCAGGGCGGACTGACAACTCATGGGGCCCCCGGGCAATAGGGGATCATGGGGCCCCGTTTCCTTGCCCAAACTCAAAAAAGCCTATGAAAAAGGTACCAGGGGCATCTCATGGGGCCCCCTACTGACCCCGGGCCCTCGGGCGGTGCCCGAGTTTCCAAATGGTCAGTCCGCCCCTGCAGGGGCCCCATTCTCCCCTATTGCCCAGGGGCCCCATGAGTTGTCAGTCCGCCCCTGGGAGGGGATCCACCAGCAGAGAGATGTTTGGCTTTCTAACTCTTGGCCAGTCTTGCAGCCGACAGTCATATTTGTCCATTGTGGACATATGCTGGTGACTTGTGTGGTGTTCTCTGGAATCATGGTAAGGTGAGTGAGCCCGGGTTCACATATATGCGGTGCGGTATATCGCATGTGATTGCACAGGAACCGCACCGCATTCCTGTGCAGATCACATGCGTTTTGTGTGCGGTGCGATCGGAGTCGTACATTTTGTATGGCTCTAATCGCACCGCACCCGCACCAAAAAGGTGCAGGACCCTTTTTCTAGTCCGCTCTACATGGGTATTCACACCTATGTGATACGATTCTGCACATCGCACCGCGTTTTGCGGACAGATTTCGGGGTGTTGTTAATTTAACATACACACCCGCAGCGGTTCACATGAACAGGGTGCGATTCTGATGCGGTGCGGAATTCGCACAGAAAACGCTGAGAATTCTGGACCGCGTCGGTGTGAACCCGGGCAGTTCCGATTTGAGCGCAGATGCTGTGTTTTCTTCATTCCTTTACAAACAAGGTGGATGGAGGAAACTCCGCAAGAAGGGGAAATTGTCAGAATACATTGATCAGTGGCGGCAGCTGATCGCTGGAACATTTTTCAACATGTTTAAAGTGATATTAACCCCTTGTCCTCCTAAGGATTTACCCCTCCCTCCCCCCCTTCCTGACCAGGCCATTTTTTGCGTTACGGCGCTGCGTTACATTAACTGACAATTGTGCCGTCATGTAACGCTGCACCCAAATGAAATTTACATCCTTTTTTTTTCCCACAAATAGAGCTTTCTTTTGGTGGTATTTGATCGCCTGTCTGACAATTTTGAAAAAAAAAAATATTTTTTACTTTTTGCTATTAACCAATTCAATACCGGGCAATTTTACACCTTCCTGCCCAGGCCAGTTTTCAGCGCTCTCACGCTTTGAATGACAATTGCGCGGTCATACAACATTGTACCCAAACTAAAATGTTATCATTTTCTTCACACAACTAGAGCTTTCTTTTGGTGGTATTTAATCACCGCCGGGGTTTTTATTTTTTGCTAAATTAACAAAAAAAGACCAAAACTTTTGAAAAAAAAAAAAGTTTTTCTTTGTTTCTGTTATAAAAGTTTACAAATAAATAATTGTTCTTCATAAATTTAGGCCGAGATGTATTCTGCTACATGTCTTTGGTGAAAATAACCCAAATTAGGATGTATTATTTAGTTTGTAGGAAAGTTATAGAGTTCACAAACTATGGTATAGATCTGAATATTGATCAATCCTGAAGTACTGACGGCCAATCTAATTTCTTGAGGTCCAAGAATGTCAGAACATTACAGATATCCCCAAATGACCCCTTTTTGCAGAGTAGACAGTCCGATGTACTTCATAAGAGGAATGGCGAGTTTTTTTTGAAGTTGTATTTTTTTTGTCATTTTTTGGAAAATGAAAAAATTAAAAAAATTTGTTTCACTATTTTTTTTTTTTAACATATTGTCACCAGTGCAGTACAGCGTCATCATATAACTGGCATGGCGGTGATCAGGGACACTGACTGGTGACAGTATGAAAAAAAAAATATATATATTTTTTTTTTTTTTATTATTTTTTATTAAATCTTTTTTAAGATTTTTTTTTCATATTTCACTATGACCAAAGTAGTACAATGTTACCATAGTAACATTGTACTGCTTAGGGGAAGTGATCTTTTTTTTCTTTTTTCTTTTTTTTTACACAATTTGCCTATAGCAAAGAATTACTTTGCTATAAGCAAGCATTTACCTGAATGACATCAATTCATTCAGGGTTTTTTTTTTTTTTTTTTGTGCTTAGCTGTGATTTGGCCACAGCTAATCACATGACATGTGCATGTGATTAGCTGTGACCATTCACAGCTAGACACTAGTATACAATGGATGGCATGAATGAAGTATACAACTGTCATGTGACCTGCTGTGATTGGTCACAGCAGGTTACATGGTACGGGCAACAGGGGCCGATACTCAGATCTGTCATCGGCCGTGTCCGAGGTACACGGCCGGTGACAGATCGCGCCGCTGCGCCGCTCTGCAGGAGCGCAATCTGTGCATGTGCGGGAGAACGCCATATGGCGTCCACCCGGAATGCTGATGACATTTGCCACCCTCCCTTCGGCCATAGGGCGGCAAATGGTTAAACATGTCCAGTAAAAAAAATAAAAAAATCAAATTTCATCATAAATTTGGGCCAAATGTATTCTGCTCCATGTCTTTGCTAAAAAAAAATCCCAATACGTGTAAATTTATTGGTTTACGTGAAAGTTACGGCGTTTACAAATGGCGGTATAGACTGTATGCTTGAATTTCTTTTTTCAACTAGTAATGGCGGCGATCAGCGACTTATAGCGGGACTGTGGCGGACATTCTGACACTGGGGGTGAACCGACTTGGCGGCCTGGGACCAGAGCGGTGGCAGTAGAGAGGAGGATCTCAGCAGGTCAATGCTGGATCCTCTGGGTGGGTGAATATCTGAATTGTGTATAACCCGGTAAGCGGGGTTAAAAAATAATTGGGGGGGGGGGGGGTGAAGATCTGCTCTAATATGCATTGAAAAAAAAAAACCTAACACAGAAGTGGGTCCAGCCATGAAGCATTTGATTTCTATTGCAGAAAATGGAGACAATGTGACCTCTACAGCGTAGTTATTACTATTGCGCCTCCCACTTGGAAAGAGTAGGAAGGGTAGAAGGCAGCCTAAGACGTCACCCCGGGCTCAAAATCTACTTCTACATTCAGTTGATTGTTCACATTTATGTGTTGGTGACTCGATCTTACACAACTTTTCCCACAACAGCAGCAGAGAAGCCCCTCTGTCCCGGCGCTGGACGTACAAAGCTCCCCCAAGCCGTCTCCTAAGGGGTTTCTGACACCAGCTGTTGCTGGACGCACGCACCGACGCTCCGCCTCCTGCGGCAGCCCGTTCACCACCGTTCAACACAGCTCCTCTGCGGAACACATCGCGGAGCCAGGCAAAATCCCAGATCCCGCTGAAGATCACCGCATCATTCGCGCACGAGTGGCGCCGGCAGAGGAAACCAGTGTTTACAAAAGTGTGCGGGTGAGTGCGCAATTGTGACTTCCACACCGACACGGAACCCTGTGTTCCAAAATGTCTAAAGATCTGCGGTTTGGGTTTCCCACTTCAGCTTGGCATTGCAGCTCCTTTCTGAAGTGGCCTGCCATGAGAACTCAACTGGAAAGTATGATTCAATGGGCATTGGCCAATCTAATCCTTCTCTATCTCTAATGGTGGCCATACACACAGCGATTTTACAGTATGATTGTATTGTCATTCAGTTTACTGTCTGGGAGAAGAGTAGGATCAGGATTGGAAGATACATACATCTAACACAGCATATCAGTCTATCTACTTCTCTACAATTGGACCAATCAAAGTTGGTTTTTGGCAAATTGATCAATGACTCAGTATGGGGTCTAGATATGAAAATATTTGGTGCACGAATGCTACAAGCATTCACTCGGCCATAACAAATGTAGATTGTATTTTGTTTAAAGGGCACCTTCAGCCAATAATAAAATGGCTTCAATAATTGGAGATTATTACCTTTTTTTTTTTTTAATGATTTATGACCTCTTTAGTGCTTTTTAGTTCTTTCTTGTCCAGGAGAGAATGCAGTGGTGTATTTAGGCTTTGTGCTGCACTAGGCTACACAAAAAATTGGACGCCCCCCTCCTCCCCAGCGGAGAGGGCCTGACACCAACACTAGACACCCCCCCACAGAGAGAGGCTGACACCAACCAACAGCAGACACCCACCCACGGAGAGAGCATGACACCAACCAGACCAGACCCCCCCCACTGCAGAGAGAGTCTGACACCAACCAACACCAGACCCCTCCCCTGCAGAGAGAGCATGACACCAACCAACACCAGACCCCTCCCCCACGGAGAGATTCTGACACCAACCAAACACCAGACACCCCTCCGCAGAGAGAGCCTGACACCAACAAACAGCAGACACCCCCCCACGGAGAGCATGACACCAACAAAGACCAGACCCCCCCCCACCACAGAGAGAGTCTGACACCAACCAACACCAGACCCCCCCCCCTTCCCGCAGAGAGAGCCTGACACCAACCAACAGCAGACACCCATCCCACTGCGGAAAGAGCCTGACACCAACCAACACCAGACCCCCCCCCCCCGCACCATGGAAAGAGCCTGACACCAACCAACACCAAACCCCCCACCGCAGAGAGAGCCTGACAGCAACCAACACCAGACATCCCCCCCCCCCCCCCCCCCCCCCCCGGCGAGAGCCTGACACCAACCAACACCAGACCTCCCTCCCACCGCGGAGAGAGCCTAACACCAGACCCCCCGCCCCCCACGGAGAGAGCCTGACACCAACCAACACCAGACCCCCCCAATGCAGAGAGAGCCTGACAGCAACCAACACCAGACACCCCCCTTGGAGAGAGCCTGACACCAACCAGCACCAGACCCCCCCACCACAGAGAGAGCCTGACACCAACCAACACCAGACCCCCCCCCCCCCCCCCCGCGGAGATAGCCTGACACCAACCAACACCAGACACCCCCGTGGAGAGGGCCTGACACCAACCAACACCAGACCCCCTCCCACCACGGAGAGAGTCTGACACCAACCAACACCAGACCCCCCCCCCCCCTCCCGTGGAGAGAGCCTGACACCAACCAACACCAGACCCCCCCTGCGGAAAGAGCCTGACACCACCAACCAACACCAGACCCCCCCCCCCCAGAGAAAGCCTGACACCAACCAACACCAGACCCCCCCCGTGGAGAGGGCCTGACACCAACCAACACCAGACCCCCCCCCCCCACCACGGAGAGAGCCTGACCACCTGACACCAGACCCCCCAACCACCACAGAGACCCCTGACCCCCAACACCAAACCCCCCACCGCAGACAGAGCCTGACAGCAACCAACACCAGACACCCCCGGAGAGAGTCCCCCCCCCCCCCCCCCCCGCAGCTAGAGCCTGACACCAACCAACACCAGACCCCCCTCCCACCGCGGAGAGAGCCTAACACCAACCCCCCCGACCCCCCCCGGAGAGAGCCTGACACCAACCAACACCAGACCCCCCAATGCAGAGAGAGCCTGACAGCAACCAACACCAGACACCCCCCTTGGAGAGAGCCTGACACCAACCAGCACCAGACCCCCCCACCACAGAGAGAGCCTGACACCAACCAACACCAGACACCCCCCCCCCCCCCGCGGAGAGAGCCTGACACCAACCAACACCAGACCCCCCACCGCTGAGAGAGCCTGACACCAACCAACACCAGACCCCCCTCCGCGGAGAGATCCTGACACCAACCAACACCAGACCCCCCTCCATGGAGAGAGCCTGACACCAACCAATACCAGAACCCCCACCGCGGTGAGAGCCTAACAGTGACCAACAACATCCTTGCCCCCATCCCCCCTCCCCACCCGAGAAAGCCTTCCACTAACACTCCCCCACTGGTGATAGAGTGAAAGACACCCACCTTCACATCTCTGGCCATCCCCGGGAAGGACAATCGGACTCTGCATACACCATCAAGCAGCCCGCAGCCTCTCTCGGATCCCACCTTATCCTCATGTCCCTTCTTACGCGGGGCTGCCCCCCTAAGAAATGCTTCCCTAGGCAAATGCCTTGTTTGCCTTGTGGTAAATACGCCCCTACTCCAGAGATGTCTACATAATGCAAATCAGGAAACTGTTCTGCTGACAGGCACATGCATGCCACAATATTCCGCACATACGCAGACTATGCATGTCTTTGGGACCTGGCACACCTACACACGCATGGGGGTTTCCTGTGCCTATGCACATACACTGCAGGTGTCAAAGTCCCAGATACTAGCGTGTCTGTGCATGCATTATTAATCCCTTTGTATGCACAGGTGTGCCACAGGTCTCTGCTGGATTCCAAAGAGCAGGCAACCCCCCCCCCCCCCCCCCCCCCCGGTACATCTGCTCACACGATAGTGGTAAGGGAAAAGAGGGGCAGGACCAGTATTTTGGGGGACTGAAGTTCCTCAACATAATGATTTCCTATGATTGTCAGCGCCATCTAGCGGCCATATTTGTGGTACTTTCCTGATTGAGATATTTCAGGGAAAAAAATGCTTTATGGCCACTAGATGGGGATGACGATCATAGGAAATAAACATATTAAGCACAATATGCTCAGAATTCATGATTCCTGGGTGAATGTTTGTGACATTTGTCTATCATTTTTTTTTTTCTTAATAAATAGATCCTTAAAGTGATATTAAACCCTTTATTTTTTTTTTTTTTAGTTAAAATAACAAACATGTCTATACTTACCTGCTCTGTGCAGTGGTTTTGCACAGAGAAGCCACAATCTTCCTCTTCTGGAGTCCCCTGCCGGCGCTCCTGGCCCCTGCTCTTCGACTGGTGCCCCCATGGAAAGCCACGGTCCATGGGGGCACCCATGCAGGCTCGCTCCCAAGCTGCCCTGTTTGTGTCCAGTGACACAGAGCGGGTGGTTTGGCCCCACCCTGCTTTGTCACAGCATTTGAATGCCAATGGCTCCCACTGCTATCAATCTGCCCAATGAGAAGGGAGACATCGGCCAGAGCCGCTGCTCTCATGCACATCGCTGGATCGGATCTGGCTCGGGTAAGAAAAAGGGGGACTAGGGGGGCTGGGGGGGAGCTGCAGCACAGAAGGTATTTCACCTTAACGCATAAAATGCATTAAGGTGAAAAACCTTCGGGCTTTAGAACCACTTTAACCGTCTTTTCAATTTCATAGATTCCATTAAATTGTCTAATTCTGTGAAGAATCGTTTGATTGGATCATTATATGTATGGCCACCATAATGCTAAGAATCTGATTGGGTGCTGCGGGAAAATTAGAAACTTATTTAATTATTATTTTTTTTTTAAGATGAGCCCTTTGTGTTGCCATTTCAGATCAACAGCCAGGAAAAAGCTCCAGCAGTGATTGATCGCATCCTGAGAAAACATCACCTGAACACACCGGGTTCACATGAGCTAGTCCAGCTATTGCCAGGGAATAAAGGTCAGAAATTGTTTTTTTTGGATCTGTGTAATTTATTCTGCAGCAAGTGTGTTACATTAAAATGTTTTTAAGAAAAAGCGCCACACCCTCTAAATCCAAAAGCAGCAAATTCCCCACTCAAAAAATCAACAAATCTTTTGCTTAAACAAATAAATAAAAGGAATGCGCTAATTAAGTAAATAATACAAAGTGAATATAAGAAAAAAATATTGAATAAAAATTATGCAAAAAAAGTGTCCATAAATGTCCAAAAAGATTTTTAATTAAAGTCCACACTGTATTAGAGTCACCACAAAAAATGTTTTTAAATCACCCCAACTACCGTATTTTTCGCCGTATAAGACGCACTTTTTGTTCCCCAAAACTGGGGGTGAAATGCCAGTGCGTCTTATAGAGCGAATATGGAGCGGCCGGTCCGGTATTTCCACCGCGGCCGTGTCAGAATACCGGGCCGGCCGCTCAGCTCTGCAGCGGGACCTTACCTGTTCCTCTATCCAGCGGCGCGCTGTCTTCCCGGCTTCTGTAGTGTGGGCACTGGGCATGACTGCCGGGTGCCAAGTGCGCATGCGCAAGAAGCGGTGCTTTTTGTGAATGGTAAGGCGGTACCTGGGACACATGACAGATCCCAGAAGCCGCCGGACCAATCACAAAGCGCAAGTGCTTCTCGCTCATGCGCACTGGGCACCCGGCTGTCATGCCGAGCGCCATTACAGAAGCCGGGAAGACAGCGCGCAGCTGGATCGAGGAACAGGAAAGATCAAAGAACAACTGCGGAAGTAAAAGCGGGTACCTTCAGGTCAAATTCAGGTACCCGCTCCCCACCTCCCCAAAGGTCAGCAGTCATCTGTACTGTCCGCAGTCTCTGGTCATCCCTGTGCTGTCCGCAGTTCTGGTCATCCCTGTACTGTGTCCGCAGTCTCTGGTCATCCCTGTGCTGTCCGCAGTCTCTGGTCATCCCTGTGCTGTCCGCAGTCTCTGGTCATCCCTGTGCTGTCCGCAGTCTCTGGTCATCCCTGTGCTGTCCGCAGTCTCTGGTCATCCCTGTGCTGTCCGCAGTCTCTGGTCATCCCTGTGCTGTCCGCAGTCTCTGGTCATCCCTGTGCTGTCCGCAGTCTCTGGTCATCCCTGTGCTGTCCGCAGTCTCTGGTCATCCCTGTGCTGTCCGCAGTCTCTGGTCATCCTGTGCTGTCCGCAGTCTCTGGTCATCTCCTGTACTGTGTCTGCAGTCCATTAGCTCAGAATTTTTTTTTTTCCTGTTTTCTGCCTCTAAAACCTAGGTGCGTCTTATGGTCAGGTGCGTCTTATACGGCGAAAAATACGGTAAGCTCAAAAATAAAAATAAAAATAAAACAAATACCTTTTTGCTCTAGGCAATATATAACAAATCAATTCTTGAATACAATACTGTGTAAATCAACGAACGAATTTTCCTCCAATGAAAAATATTATTGTGTGAATCAACGAAGGATTTTTCCTCAGATAAAAAAAAAAAACCACCATTCAAAGATATAACAAGGATATATCGCAATCCGATTCTTAGATGTGAGAAATGAACAAATTTTCAGATGAAAAAAGGTATTTGTTTTATTTTTATTTTTGAGCTTAGTTGGGTGATTTAAAAACACTTTTTTGTGGGTGACTCTAATACAGTGTGGACTTTAATTAAAAATCTTTTTGGACATTTATGGACACTTTTTTTTTGCATAATTTTTTATTCAAATATTTTTTATTTTTTTCTTATATTCACTTTGTATTATTTACTTAATTAGCGCATTCCTTTTATTTATTTAAATGTGTTACATTAACTTTTCCTTCATTAACTTAAAAAAACTAATCTTGGGCACATGCTGTCATTGAAAACTCTTCTTTGGAGAAATACTGCCTTTGCAATGGGTCTACCCTGCACTGTATTGCTAGAGGGCTTTTTTTTTTTCTTGGGAGAGAGCATATGATCAGCACAGGGCTAATCAGCACTGTCCAGAAAGAGGTCAGGGGTTCTGCATCCTTCTAGAGCAGAAAGAAAACTTCTACAAGCTTTTAACCAGCTTTGAAGTCACCAGACTGCTATATACTGCAGTATTTAGCAGTTTATATTTTACTTAAATAATTGCATTTCCAGTACTGTGCTATAGTGAATGCAGGGTGGGAGAGCGGAGTGAAAACCGGTAGTTGCAGGGTCCAGTAGTGAATGCAGGGTCCGGGGTGATTTGAACAGGGTTAAAGTGAATGCAGGGTTGCGGATATAGTGACTGCAGGGTCGGGGAGAGCATGTTCTGTGTACTGCAGGGTGGGGGAGACCGGATATAGTGTATGCAGGGTCCGGGGAGACCGGATATAGTGACTGCAGGGTCCGGGGAGACCGGATATAGTGACTGCAGGGTCCGGGGAGAGCGGATATAGTGAATGCAGGGTCCGGGGTGACCGGATATAGTGAATGCAGGGTCCGGGGAGACCAGATAGTGAATGCAGGGTCCGGGGAAAGCGGATATAGTGAATGCGGGGTCCGGGGGAGACCGGATATAGTGAATGCAGGGCGGGGAGACCAGATAGTGAATGCAGGGTCGGTGAGAGCGGATATAGTGAATGCGGGGTCCGGTGAGAGCGGATATAGTGGATGCAGGGTCCGGGGAGACCGGATTAAAATAGTGGATGCAAGGGGCCGGGGAGACCGGGGGAGAGCGGATATAGTGAATGTCCGGGGGTCGGGGTGAGAGGTTTAAGGGCCCTGGGTTTAGTATCACTTTAATCTTCCATCTGGTGTGGATAGTATTTGTCCCATCTTCGAGGGGCAACTCAAGGCCAGATGTGAGGTTGGACAACTCCATCTCCAAGCATTTACCAGCTTAGCTGAAACCCCCCCCCCCCCCCCCACCCCCCAATCCTCATGGGACGCCTGTGTTGGGGAGACAGAAAAGTGTCGCTTGTCAAAGCAGCTGTCTCTTTGCTAGTTGCATTGTCGGAGGTCAGAGAAGGGAGAGGAGGTGCCCTGTCTGACCTATCCTCCTAGGTGCTGGATAAGGCTAGCTTTGAGGTCAAGGTACTATATGTACTTTTTTGCACTGGGGAATAGAATACATTAACAAAAATAGTGAGACTTCTTCTACACTCCCTCCTCGTCATTTTTTTTTTTTTAATTTGTTTCCTTGGTTGTTGGGTTATCCTCAAAAACATATTCACATGTGCAACAACGAATCCAAGGTTGTCTTGCTGCAGTCCACCGCTGCATGCTGGGTCCAGGGGCATATTTACCACAAGGCAAACAAGGCATTTGCCTAGGGCGACACTTTTCAGGGGGCCAGCTCCGCCCCCCGGAAGAAGGGACACTTGCAGCATGGGGATCAGGTGGGATCCGAGAGAGGCTGCACACTGCTTGATGCTGTATACAGAGCCTGACTCCTGTTCCCAGGGATGTCCAGAGCTGTGAAGACGAGTATTTTTTCTCTCTCTGTGGGGGAGGGGATATGTGTTAGTGAAAGACTCTCGGGGGGGGGGGAAGGGGGGGGGGTTAGTTGTTGGTCAATGTCAGGCTAAATACACCTCTGGCTGGGTCCCCCACCTTTGTGTCATCTAAGGCTTCGTTCACACATGACCAATTTCTAAAGCTTCCCAAACGCCCCCTATAGTATTAGACAGGCGTTTGAGAAGCATTTTTAACCCTCCTCAAATGCCCTATGTGTGTTTTTTGAGGCGTTTTATAGGCGTTTTCCAAAACCGCACACCACCACAAACACCTATAATGAAGTTAATGGTATTGACGCCTCGCAAACGCCCCACAGTGGGATTTCAGTGGGAACAGCACTGTGTGCTGCCATGTGTATAAATTTCATCATAGGCGTTTGAGGAGCCCTCAAACTGCTGCTTACAGAGCTAGTGTGAACTTGGCCTAAGAGCCAGCTGTTTTTTTCCAGGCTCTTTTTAACCATTTGCCGCCCGCCCTATGGCCGAATGGCGACCGGCAAATGTCATCAGCGTTCCGGGTGGACGCCATATGGCGTCCTCCCGCGCACATGCGCAGATTGCAATCCTGCAGAGCTGCGCAGCGGCGCGATCTGTCACCGGCCGTGTACCTCGGACACGACCGATGACAGATCTGAATATCGGCCCCGTTGCCGGTATCATGTGACCTGCTGTGACCAATCACAGCAGGTCACATGACAGTTGTATACAATGGATGGCTTCATTCATGTCACCCATTGTATACTAGTGTCTAGCTGTGAATGGTCACAGTTAATCACATGCACATGTCATGTGATTAGCTGTGGCCAAATCACAGCTAAGCAAAAAAAAAAAAAAAAAACCCTGAGTGAATCGATGTCATTCAGGTAAATGCTTGCTTATAGCAAAGTAATTCTTTGCTATAAGCAAATTGTGTAAAATAAAAAAATACTGATCACTTCCCCAAAGTAGTACAATGTTACTATGGTAACATTGTACTACTTTGGTCATAGTGAAATATGAAAACAAATCTTAAAAAAAAGAAAAAAAATTTAATAAAAAAAAAAAAAGAAAAAAAAAAATATATATATATATTTTTTTCATACTGTCATACTGTCCAGTCAGTGTCCCTGTTCACCGCCATGCCAGTTATATGAAGACGCTGTATTGCACTGGTGACAGTAAGTAAAAAAAAAAAATAGTGAAAATTTTTTTTTTCATTTTTTCATTTTCCGAAAAATTATGACCAAAAAAATACAACTTCAAAAAAACTCGCCATTCCTCTTATGAAGTACGTCCGACTGTCTACTCTGCTGCAAAAAGGGGTCATTTGGGATATCTGTACTGTTCTGACATTTGGGGGATATCTGTACTGTTCTGACATTCTTGGACCTCAAGAAATTAGATTGGCTGTCAGTACTTCAGGATTGATCAATATTCAGATCTATACCATAGTTTGTGAACTCTATAACTTTCCTACAAACTAAATAATACATCCTAATTTGGGTTATTTTCACCAAAGACATGTAGCAGAATACATCTCAGCCTAAATTTATGAAGAACAATTATTTATTGCAAACTTTTATAACAGAAACAAAGAAAAATGTGTTTTTTTTTTTTCTTTTAAATTTTTGGTCTTTTTTTGTTAATTTAGCAAAAAAAAACCCCCAGAGGTGATTAAATACCACCAAAAGAAAGCTCTAGTTGTGTGAAGAAAATGATAAAATTTTAGTTTGGGTACAATGTTGTATGACCGCGCAATTGTCATTCAAAGTGTGAGAGCGCTGAAACCTGAAAACTGGCCTGGGCAGGAAGGGGGAAAATTGCCCGGTATGGAAGGGTTTAAGATATGAATGTGCTCCGTCATCTGCAAGAACCAGGAAGAAAGCACCTGCCCGTGATCATGTGCTGCTGTAGAATATTCAAGGCCTTCTGGGATGCCTGCTGTTAGGATCCCAGGAGGCTGTGGCAGCATTCTCGCCTAGACAAGAATCCAGGAAGTGTCAGGAGTTATCCCCCCAAAAAAGTAATAAAAAAAAAAAAAAAAAGTGCAGCTGTGAGAGAAGAGTGGGGTAGGTGCGCAATGAGGGTGAGCCCTGGTTCACACCGATGCGGTGCGGAATTCTCAGCGGATCAGAATCGCACCCCGTTCATGTGAACCGCTGCGGGTGTGTATGTTAAATTAACAACACCCAGAAAGCGGTCCGCAAAACGCAGTGCGATGTAAAGAATCAGTGTGAATACCTATGCGATCCGATTCTAGTGCGGACCCAAAAAAGGGTCCTGCACGTACAAAACGTACGGCTCCAGTCGCACCGCACACAAATCGCATGTGATTTGCACAGGAATGCGTTGCGCGCACACAAATCACATGTGATGTACCGCACCGCATTATGTGAACCCGGGCTCAAGGTTCAGCTTTCAGTAGTGAAAAGGTTATTCCTGCGTTGGAGCATGCAGCGTCAGCAATTATTTTATCTGCTTGATTGCTCTGGGTTACTATACCTTCAGCCTTGCCATTATTCTGGGTTACTATACCTTCAGCCTTGCCATTATTCTGGGTTACTATACCTTCAGCCTCGCCATTATTCTGGGTTACTATACCTTCAGCCTTGCCATTGTTCTGGGTTACTATACCTTCAGCCTTGCCATTATTCTGGGTTACTATACCTTCAGCCTCGCCATTATTCTGGGTTACTATACCTTCAGCCTTGCCATTATTCAGCCTTATTCTGGGTTACTATACCTTCAGCCTTGCCATTATTCTGGGTTACTATACCTTCAGCCTTGCCATTATTCTGGGTTACTATACCTTCAGCCTTGCCATTATTCTGGGTTACTATACCTTCAGCCTCGCCATTATTCTGGGTTACTATACCTTCAGCCTTGCCATTATTATTATTCTGGGTTACTATACCTTCAGCCTCGCCATTATTCTGGGTTACTATACCTTCAGCCTTGCCATTATTCTGGGTTACTATACTTTCAGCCTCGCCATTATTCTGGGTTACTATACCTTCAGCCTTGCCATTATTCTGGGTTACTATACCTTCAGCCTTGCCATTATTCTGGGTTACTATACCTTCAGCCTTGCCATTATTCTGGGTTACTATACCTTCAGCCTTGCCATTATTCTGGGTTACTATACCTTCAGCCTTGCCATTGTTCTGGGTTACTATACCTTCAGCCTCGCCATTATTCTGGGTTACTATACCTTCAGCCTTGCCATTATTCTGGGTTACTATACCTTCAGCCTCGCCATTATTCTTGGTTACTATACCTTCAGCCTTGCCATTATTATTATTCTGGGTTACTATACCTTCAGCCTCGCCATTATTCTGGGTTACTATACCTTCAGCCTTGCCATTATTCTGGGTTACTATACTTTCAGCCTCGCCATTATTCTGGGTTTACTATACCTTCAGCCTTGCCATTATTATTATTCTGGGTTACTATACCTTCAGCCTCGCCATTATTCTGGGTTACTATACCTTCAGCCTTGCCATTATTCTGGGTTACTATACCTTCAGCCTTGCCATTCTGGGTTTATTATTCTGGGTTACTATACCTTCAGCCTCGCCATTATTCTGGGTTACTATACCTTCAGCCTTGCCATTATTCTGGGTTACTATACTTTCAGCCTCGCCATTATTCTGGGTTACTATACCTTCAGCCTTGCCATTATTCTGGGTTACTATACCTTCAGCCTTGCCATTATTCTGGGTTACTATACCTTCAGCCCGCCATTTCAGCCTCGCCATTATTCTGGGTTACTATACCTTCAGCCTTGCCATTATTCTGGGTTACTATACTTTCAGCCTCGCCATTATTCTGGGTTACTATACCTTCAGCCTTGCCATTATTCTGGGTTACTATACCTTCAGCCTTGCCATTATTCTGGGTTACTATACCTTCAGCCTTGCCATTATTCTGGGTTACTATACCTTCAGCCTTGCCATTATTCTGGGTTACTATACCTTCAGCCTCGCCATTATTCTGGGTTACTATACCTTCAGCCTTGCCATTATTCTGGGTTACTATACCTTCAGCCTTGCCATTATTATTATTCTGGGTTACTATACCTTCAGCCTTGCCATTATTATTATTCTGGGTTACTATACCTTCAGCCTGGGCCTATACCTTCAGCCTTGCCATTATTCTGGGTTACTATACCTTCAGCCTCGCCATTATTCTGGGTTACTATACCTTCAGCCTCGCCATTATTCTGGGTTACTATACCTTCAGCCTCGCCATTTATTCTGGGTTACTATACCTTCAGCCTTGCCATTATCCTGGGTTACTATACCTTCAGCCTTGCCATTATTCTGGGTTACTATACCTTCAGCCTCGCCATTATTCTGGGTTACTATACCTAAAGCCTTGCCATTATTCTGGGTTACTATACCTTCAGCCTCGCCATTATTCTGGGTTACTATACCTTCAGCCTTGCCATTATTCTGGGTTTACTATACCTTCAGCCTTGCCATTATTCTGGGTTACTATACCTTCAGCCTTGCCATTATTCTTTTTGCTGCCCAAATAATTCATCCCACTTATTTATTCCTTACAAATAATAATTTTTTTTTTCCAGAGCTGGTGTTTCCAGGGACAGCAAACGTCTTTTATGCAATGAGTTCGGCCAGTATGGACTTCCTGGTCCGTCCACAGCAAACCGCCCCAACGCCTCCCTCCGAGCCCAAACCTCACCACCTCCGGGTACAAATAAATGCCACCTATCCCAAAATGAAGGCCAAGGCCGGAGACCTGGCAAGGTCCCTCTTCTAACTGGCCGTTCTACAAGTGGAGCTTCAAAAGGACATTTTTTTGTTTTCTTTTGTTACAATGGACGTATGTTTTTGAAGGAATGCACCGAACACAACGTGTCTACCATGAAGCCTTCACAATCACTCCAGCTCAGGATAAGGTGCTCTTATTGCTTAACCCAAAGTGGCCTTCCATTGACTTTTATTGGTGTTCAGACATCAGCTTAACACGGCTGATAGGAAGTGCCGGCACAAGCCTTCCGTCAGCAGGAAATGGTGCAATTTACCATTTGTGTGACATCACTGCACCTCACCCAGGAAGTGATGTCACACTGCAAGTTATAACGTGCTGCTCAATCCTCCATACACTAGCATCAAAAACACTATGTACTGTTATTTTTATGTATTTCTGTCTGTCACTTTTTTTATCTATGTAATATTAAAAAAAAAAAAATTCCAAAGCCTGATCGCCATTTGACTGTAATGTAAATGTTCTTCATAGTTACATAGTTAGTCTGGCTGAAAAAAGACAAAAGTTCATCCAGTTCAACCATGAAAAAAAAAAAGTTATAATCCTATACCCACAGTTGATCCAGAGGAAGCCAAAAAAAAAAAACTAGCAAAGCACGATCCAATTTGCTCCTACAGGGAGAAAAATTCCTTCCTGATCTCCCGAGAGGTAATCGGATATTCCCTGGATCAACGTCACCTATAAATGTTATATCCAGTTATATTCTGTGTATCTGGGAAAGAATCCAGGACTTTTTTAAAGCAATCCACTGAGCTGGCCAGAACCAACTCTTGAGGGAGTCTATTCCACATTTTCACAGCTCTCACTGTGAAGAAACCTTTCCGTGTTTGGAGATTAAATTGCTTTTCCTCCAGATGTAAAGAGTGCCCCCTTGTCCAAAAAGGAAAAAAAAACCCAGCAAAGCATGATCCAATTTGCTCCTGCAGGGAAAAAAATTCCTTCCTGATCTCCCGAGAGGCAATCGGATACTCCCTGGATCAACTTTACCTATAAATGTTATATCCAGTTATATTCTATGTATCTAAGAAAGAATCCAGGCCAGGGGCGGACTGACAACTCATGGGGCCCCGGGCAATAGGGGATCATGGGGCCCCTGTGTCCTTGCCCAAACTCAAAAAAAGCCTATGAAAAAGGTACCAGGGGCATCTCATGGGGCCCCCTACTGACCCCAGGCCCTCATAGGGGATCATGGGGCCCCTGTGTCCTTGCTCAAACTCAAAAAAGCCTATGAAAAAGGTACCGGGGCATCTCATGGGGCCCCCTACTGACCCCGTGCCCTCGGGCAGTGCCCGAGTTTCCAAATGGTCAGTCCGCCCCTGATCCAGGCCTTTCCTACAGCAATCCACTGAGCTGGCCAGAACCAACTCATTAGGGGGTCTATTCCACATTCAGAGCTTGTAGAATCAGAAAACCCCAGCAGACAACTAACCTAGAAAATAGGTTCTGCACACTGCATAAATAAAACCTATGTAAGACTCCATCCACACTTGCACGACTCCAAAGTCGCAAAATTTCCAGTGAGACTTTGAACAGACTTTACACTCTCTGGATCAAAGTCGCATCAAAGTAGCGTTGGCACGTTTTCAAAGTCCCTGCGACTTTAAGTTACACCAGTTTGAACTAGTGCCATTAAAAAGAATGGGCTGCAATTGTCATGTGACTTTGATGTCCAAAGACGCATGACAAGTCACACAACTGTGAATGGAGCCTTAGGGTGTGGAAGGGAGACACACTGCAGGCACTTTTCCTGCTGGCAGCTTACAACTTATAAGTACAGACACTTTAACATGGCTGTTTAGTAGGACATGGGCTCTTGCAGACCTGTAAAGAGAGCTTGCAACTTTAGGGAACAAGAAAAGAGATGAGAAGGTAGCAGCGTCTGCTGATTATAATGGTTGTAGGGTACAGGCAGGGGCAGACTGACAACTCATGGGGCCCCCCGGGCAATAGGGGATCATGGGGCCCCTGTGTCCTTGCCCAAACTTAAAAAAGCCTATGAAAAAGGTACCAGGGGCATCTCATGGGGCCCCCTACTGAGCCTGGGCCCTCGGGCAGTGCCTGAGTTTACAAATGGTCAGTCCGCCCCTGGGTACAGGTCTGTAGGTCTGTTTATGGAAAATGTTAAAACAAAAAAAAAGAAAAGAATGTGCAGGTTTGATGTCACAGTAATGCTCTGAGGTGAAGTATGATAGATGAGCCTGGCACACCATAAAGTGGTTGTAAAAGTTTGTTTTTGTTGTTTTTTTACTTACCTTACTTCATTCTCTGTCCTGTGGTTAATAAAAAAAACAAAAAAACAAAAACAAAAAAAACATTTAACAGTAGCTCTTCCCTTCCTTTAAACACTGACCTGAGCCCAATCCCAATCCAACACTGTGCAGGTCTGCAGTGCCTCTTCTCGCCTCTCCCACAGGCTTGGCTCCTGCTGCCATCAGTAAAAGCCTGAGAGCAGGGGGCAGGGCTAAGCAAGGCTGCCTGTCTGAATAGACACCATGGGATTTGTTTACTAAAGCTGGAGAGTGCAAAATCAGGCTCACTTCTGCATAGAAACCATTCAGATTTTAACCTCAGCTTGTTCAATTAAGCTTTGGCAATAAAACCTGGAAGCTGATTGGTTTCTTTGCAGAAGTGAGCCTTATTTTGTACTTTCCAGCTTTAGTACATAAACCCCAAACAGTCCAGTTTGGGATTGAGCACACGAGTGCCCCCATAGGAAGTGGCTTCTTATGGGGGCACTCGGAGGGGGGAGGAGCCAGGAGGGCCAGCAGGGGACCCCAGAAGAGGAAGTGGGAGGCGGCTCTGTGCAAATCCATTACACTTAGCAGGTAAGTATGGCGTGTTTATTATTTTAGTTTTTAAAAAAATAAATTTTGGAATCACTTTAAGGGCACCTTACCATCAGCAGGATTACTGAAATACAACTACTTTATATGGTGAAAACGGCTCACCCACAGGCACATTCTTGGAAACCACAACAGAAAAAAGGGTGTCCAAGGACCTGACATGAGCCTAAATTTTTCTACAGCCATCAGATGGCAGCCAACACACAAAATATGGTGGACAACTATACAGTTGCAAGAAAAAGTATGTGAACCCCTTGGGATTACGTGGAGTTTTGCATGAATTGGGCATAAAATGTGCTCTGAACGTCATCTAAGTCACAACAATAGAAGAACACAGTCTGCTGAACATAATACTACACAAACATTAGATGTTGCCATGGTTTAATTGCACATAACATGTAAACATTTACAGTGCAGGGAGGAAAAAGTATGTGAACCTTTGGACTCAATAACTGGTTGACCCTCCTTTGGCAGCAATAACCTCAACCAAACGTTTCCTGTAGTTGCAGATCAGACCTGCACAACGATCTGGAGTCATTTTGGACCACTCCTCTTCACAAAACTGTTTCAGTGTAGCAATATTCTTGGGATGTCTGGTGTGAATCGCTCTCTTAAGGTCATGCCACAGCATTTCAATGGGGTTGATGTCAGGACTCTGACTGGGCCACTCCAGAAGGCGTATTCTGTGCTGTTGCAGCCATTGTTTTGTTGAATGACTTGTATGCTTTGGGTCATTGTCCTGTTGCATCACCCATCCTCTGCGGAGCTTCAGTTGGCGGACAGAGGGTCGTACGTTTTCCTGCAAAATGTCTTGATAAACTCTGGAATTCAATTTCCCATCAATGACAACAATCCGTCCAGGCCCTGAGGCATCAAAGCAGCCCCAACCCATGATGCTCCCTCCGCCATGTTTTACAGTGGGGATGAGGTTTTGATGTTGGTATGCTGTGCCTTTTTTTTTCTCCACACATAGTGTTGTGTGTTCTTCCCAAACAACTCAATCTTGGTTTCATCTGTCCACAGTATATTTTGCCAGTAGTGCTGTGGAACATCCAGGTGCTCTTTTGCAAACTTCAAACATGCTGCAATATTCTTTTTGGACAGCAATGGCTTCCTCCGTGGTGTCCTCCCATGTACTCCATTCTTGTTTAATGTTTTCCCTTATTGTAGATGTGTCAACAAAAATGTTAGCATGTGCCAGAGATTTCTGTAGGTCTTTAGCTGACACTCTGGGATTCTTCTTTACCTCATGCAGCATTCTGTGCTGTGCTCTTGCAGTCATTTTTACAGGACGACCACGCCTAGGGAGAGTAGCAACAGTGCTAAACTTTCTCCATTTGTAGACCGTCTGTCTTACCGTGGACACATGAACATCAAGGCTTTTGGAGATACTTTTGTAACCCTTTCCAGCTTCATGCAAGTCAACAATTCTTGATCGTAGGTCTTCTGAGAGCTCTTTTCTGCGAGGCATGGTTCACATCAGACAGTGCTTCTTGAAACCTGTAAACCCAAAACAGGTGTGTGATTTTTAAGGGCAGGACAGCTGTCAGCAACACATCCAATATCATCACACTGATTGGAGTCAAGGTTGGCTCACTCCTGGCTCCAATTAGCTCTGGGAGAAGTCATTAAGCTAGGGCCTCACATACTTTTTCCTCCCTGCACTGTGAATGTTTACATGTTATGTGCAATTAAACCATGGCAACATCTAATGATTGTGTAGTATTATGTTCAGCAGACTGTGTTCTTCTATTGTTGTGACTTAGATGACGTTCAGAGCACATTTTATGCCCAATTCATGCAAAACTCCACGTAATCCCAAGGGGTTCACATACTTTTTATTGCAACTGTATATGAAGGAGAGGGGAGAACATTCAGGAGCTGGTTTATTGCTGAGGAAAAACAGCAAACTGGTGGGATAAAATTCAACCTGGCCAATTTCGTTAACTGAACGGTAAAAAAAAATGCATTTTCATTTAATAAGATGAAGGAAGCATATATTAAAACCAAGGGAAGCCATCTCGTGGACCCAGGCCAACCTGCAATCCAGGGACGTGTAGAGAGAAGCAGCCTGCAGTACATAGAGCTACAACACAACCAGAACCAGTCGGACAGCGTGGGAATATTCCATAAAGATATGCGATGCTGGGGGTGTGGACGGGGGCATGTGGCTACGCGTTGCAAGGCGGTAACATATTTCTCAAGCCTTCGTGCCCCTAGGATCTGACATCTTCTTGGAATATTCCCCAGTCTAACTGACTCAGGTGTTGTAGCTCTTCATGCCGCAGGCAGATTCTCTCTTCAGCTACCTGAATTACTGCAGTTCGACCTTGGGACCCGAGATGACTGCCCTTGGTTTTCAGATATGCTTCTTTCATCTTACTAATAGTGAGTGCATTTCTTACTATTTTTAGTAATAAACACTAACTTGCTACACTTAGAAGTGCCCTCTGGTGTCTATTATACTCTGTGGACAAAACTGGCCAGTTTGAATTTTACTAATTTCAGTCGCTGGTTTTCCTTAGCAATACACCAGCTTCCGAATGTTCTCCAGGTGTCCATTACATAGTTACATAGTTAGTCTGGCTGAAAAAAGACAAAAGTCCATCCAGTTTAACCATAAAAAAAGTTATAATCCTACACCCACAGTTGATCCAGAGGAAGGCAAAAACAAACCCAGCAAACCATGATCCAATTTGCTCCTGCTGGGAAAAAATTCCTTCCTGATGCCCCGAGAGGCAATCGGATATTCCCTGGATCAACTTTACGAATAAATGTTAGTATCCAGTTATAGTCTGTCCAAACCAAAATGATGGAGCACTACCCTAATAATAACAATGTATGGCAAAAACAAAGTGACATAAATATATATATATGTGAATAAAAATCAGTGGGGATCTCAATATAAAGTGACATAAAATATATATACATGCCAATACAGTCAGGTCCATAAATATTGGGACATCGACACAATTCTAACATTTTTGGCTCTATACACCACCACAATGGATTTGAAATGAAACGAACAAGATGTGCTTTAACTGCAGACTGTCAGCTTTAATTTGAGGGTATTTACATCCAAATCAGGTGAACGGTGTAGGAATTACAACAGTTTGCATATGTGCCTCCCACTTGTTAAGGGACCAAAAGTAATGGGACAGAATAATAATCATAAATAAAATTTTCACTTTTTAATACTTGGTTGCAAATCCTTTGCAGTCACTTACAGCCTGAAGTCTGGAACGCATAGACATCGCATAGTCTACTTTGGTGAATACGGTTGCCGCTCTGAGCCTCTGAAAGAGTTCTGAGATTAGTGGATAGCAGAGGATATCTATTCTTTACTGTGATATTGTTTAATTCCTGGTAGTCTACACACGGACGGAGGGAATGATCTTTCTTTTCAACAAAGAAGATTCCTGCCCCAGCTGGAGAGGTGGAGGGGCGGATGAACCCCTTTTTGAGGTTATCGTCAATATAGTCCTTTAATGCCTCCAACTCACACTCCGATAGTGAAAAGATCCGACCGAAGGGGATCTCAGCTCCTGGTAGCAGTTTGATTGGGCAATCGTAAGGTCTGTGGGTGGAAGGCTGTCTGCACCACGTTTGCTGAAGACGTCTAGGAAGTCATGGTATGCTGCCAGAACCATCTGGCCTACCTCGGTATCGCTCTCCATGCACAACAGAGGCCCGGACGGAGCAGGACTTTGAGGAAAGCAGTGCACATGGTAGTAGGCCAATTTAAAGTCCACTTCACCAGATACCCAATTTACACCAGGGTTATGGGCCTGTAACCATGGCATCCCTAGGATGACTGGAAATAGTGGTCCAGGCATAATAGTTCCTTGTGACCAGATGGAGATGTTATCACAGGGAGTGGGATCGTTTCCTGTGTGACTGCCCCAGATTTAATGTTGGATCCGTCAGCCAGAAATAGTCAGTCTCTGATTTTTGGCCCTTAAGGGTATCTGATGTTGCTGAGCAAAAGTTGCGTCAATTAAGCAACTGCAGGCCCCAGAATCAATTATAGCGGTTACTGGCAAAGTTCTTCCCCAAAGCTGAAACGAGACGGAGATGGTGAGCTGAGCAGGGTTGACAGCGGGTATTTTAGCAGGCAGGGTGGTCAGAGACTTACGTCACTTTGCAGGGCAGTTCCATACATAGTGTCTGGGTTCTCCACAGTAGAGGCATAGGTTGCCCTGTCGGCGGCGTTGCCGTTCCTCCGGAGTGAGTGTGGTTCGTAGCAA